CAGGCCCATTGGACTAAATTTCCTCAGTGCATATGAACGGCTGATGGAGAATCAAGAGCTTTAGGATCTCAAAGCCGTTGGTTTGTGTTGGGACTTCTACATCTTTGCTGTTTGCCTAAACTTGTTCAAACACGCGGATCACAGAAGGAAGACTTAGTCATGATAGTTTCCGTCTCCTTGATTAAGATGAAGTGCCCATTTCTGGGAAGGAGGGAGCATGTGACGTTTGGGTCTAAATTAAATTGAATGGAATTTCTTTGCCACGCAGGAGCCAGAAGGAGGGCACTGGTGGCCCCGAGATAAGAGCCTGGCCTGCGTGTTCCGTGGGCGTGGCCAGGGCGGGCGTGGACAGGGTCACCCTGGGCCTGGGTGTTCGCAGATAAAGCAGGAGGGAGTCAGCGTCCTGCTGAGAGGAGAAGGAAGTGGATGGTCAGCCTGGTGGGATGGGTCAAGGTTGGAATAACTACTGAGGGGACAGAACGGGACCAAAGAGAACACGCTGCCCATTGTGGGGGTTGCGGGGGGGGGGGGGGTGGTTAACGGCTCATGGCCAGGTTGCTGCAGCCCCCTCGGTCTCAGACTCTGTGCCTGCTGCTCAGCACCTGCCCCTGTGCCACACCATCCTCCCCTTCCCCGCCTCCCGTGCCCTTCCCGAGTGTCCTTAGGGAGGCCTTGGCTGGACACGGTCCACAGGCCACAGGCCACAGGCCATGCTGAGCCTCCTCCTGCAGGCTCCTCAGGCCTCCTCACTCAGGGGCGTTGCAGGCGCCTCCCACACAGGCTGGGCCCTGGAGTCACAGCGCCTCCCGCTGTCAGTGGCAGGAGACTACCACGCCAGGAGGCATGGAAATTAGAGCTTGTGGCCCCAGCAGGAAAGAACCTTCAGTCACCCATGAGTCCTGGGCCCTCTGTCCCTTCGACACTTCTTCCCAGACTTCCTTCTGCCAGAGGCTTGGTACCAGTGGAGGAGAGGTGGCTGGGAGGACAGAGGGAGGGAGGGAGGGACAGGGAAGGAGGGAGTGAGGGAGGGAGAGAGGGAGGGAGAGAGAGGGAGGGAGAGGGGGGGAGGGAGGGAGGGAGGGAGGGAGGGAGGGAGGGAGGGGTGTCCTGTGGTCCAGCCTGTGTGAAGACAAACAGCCCTTCTGGTCGCCCTCCATCCTCCGCGCTCAGCCTGCTGGGCCCAGAGGAGCCCACACACCCATCATCTAACTCAAGGCCTTTCGTTCCTCCTGCAGCTCCCTGGCCGCTCCCTGCATCGGGCCTGGTCTCCTGGATGGGGCTGCCTCCCTCTGAGAGCCCCCTCCTCTCCGCCCACAGAGAAGGAGCAAAGGAGAAAACAGGGCCATTGTTGTCCCAAGTGCCCGGAACAAAAGGGACCCTGTGTGGGGCTGGGACAGCCCCTGCCCCCACTGGACACGGGGCGGCTGCCCATCGGCCCGCTGCCGCGCTGGCTGCCCTGGGCCAGGCCCTCGGCCTTCCTCTCCCCTCTTATCGCTCTTGCTTTTCCGCCCCTCGCCCTGCACTTGGCCGTCGGCCTGCTCTCTCTCCACCTTCTTGCGGGAGCAGGAATGTTCAGGAGAGCAGAGCAGCCTCAGTGCTAGGACCTGGGGTGAGCCCCTTCTCGTTCCTGTCTCTGCTCCCGTGACCCTCTCCCTACTGGCCTCTGGTTCAGCCCGGGACCTGGGCCGGGTGGTGCCTGCATAGACCCCGCAGGGTCAGAGCTGAGCTGACCCAGGTGACAGTGTGTTCACCCGCCTGCCCTTTCCCTGTCTTCCGCATCCCCTTCCTGGAGGTGCCTCCCCATCGGGGCGCCTCCTACTCGCCGCACAGGCGGGCAGTGAGTCTGCATGTCTGTGAGCAGCTCTCTCTCCAGCTGGTACCTGGTTCTGGTGACAAGGCTGTGAGTATGGCCACCAGCCAGGGACACCGAGAAATGCAATCCCAGGAGACCTTGAGACTTATTGCAAGGGATTGGCTTGTGGGGTGTGGGGGCCACAAGGCAGGAGGAGGGCTGTCAGGAGGGAAGGCCGGGAGGGGAGGTCATGGAGGGGAGGTCACGGAGGGGAAACCACGGAGGGCAGGCCACGGAGGGGAGGCCACGGAGGGGAGGCCACGAGGAGCAGAGGAGGCAGGTGAGGAATGGAGGAGGAAGTGAGGGTAGGAGGTAGAGTTCTGGGGCTGCCGGTGGGCCTGCCTCCCACAGGCAGAACTTCTTTCTCAGGGAAGACTTGGGGGACTGAATCAGGCTCCCCACATTGTCTAGAATCAAGCCATAGGCACAAGAAAAAGAAAGCCAGAAACTCCCTAAGCATTTGAAAACTGAACCTAACTTCCCTCAGTGTCCCATGGGTCCGAGGGAGTCAGAGTGGGATTCCGACTTCCCACATCCGGGCTCACAGAACGTGGCGCCGCGTCCGGGAAGAGCGCGGAGTGAACGGCTGGGCCTGAGTCCCAGGTGAGATTTCTTCGTGCCCAGCCCCACCTGGCGGCACGGCCCTGCGGTCCCACCCACTGGCCCTGCTGGTGCCCCGAGCTTCGGGGTCACAGGCCACGGGGACATGTGGACGCTGCCCCCGGTACTTCTAGTTATGATGGGGCCACGGCTTGTCCCCTCAGCGCCAAGAACAACACGGTTTCTTGGTAAAAAAAATAAATAAATAAAAAATAATGACCCAATAGCAGCTTCTTGATCGTAAGTTTTTGAAAACAAACTTGTGAGCCATTTCTGAGAAAAGTTGATTCAATACGTTTTCTTTGTTCTGAGAAGAAAATAAAAAAGATGGGCCCAAATTATTATGTGGCTCCTGGTCACACACTCTTGCAGACACCACACGGAGATATTTGTCCAGTTCTACCTTCCAAACTCACCTGCAACCTAGATGTCCTTAGTCACGTGTCCTAGATGTGAGATGGGAGCCCAGAGATTCCTGTAATTACACAGTGTTTGTAAGACCCAGAAACCAAAAAAGGATCCCCAAGTTAGGCCCCAATCCATTGCTTCCTCCATACCTGGTGCTACACGGATTTCCTTCTTGTTTCTGCTGCCCGGCTGGAAAACAGAGCAAATGTCAGGGCATTCTTGTGAGGCGCCGGACGAATGCCGCTTGCTTCACCTCCTTGCCCGCGGCCAGTAAGGTAACTGTGAGAAGACCGAGTGAGACGCCCAAAGAACCCGTGGGAGAGAGACTCAAACAGCTTCTCGGGCAGTAAAGTCACCGGGAGGAAAGGTCTGTCCTAACCCACTCGCTCTCTAGCATAGGCCTAAGATAGCATTTATTTATTTTTTAAAATATATTTTATTGACTTTTTACAGAGAGGAAGGGAGAGAGATAGAGAGTTAGAAACATCGATGAGACAGAAATATCGATCAGCCGCCTCCTGCACACTCCCTACTGGGGATGTGCCCACAACCAGGGTACATGCCCTTGGCCGGAATCGAACCCGGGACCTTTCAGTCCGCAGGCTGATGCTCTATCCATTGAGCCACACTGGTTCCGGCCCGAGATAGCCTTTGAATAGCTCAGTCCCCTTAAAAGAGCCCGAGCACATGCTGGCAGCAAGCGTTGCTAACTAATGGCCTTGCTTGGCCTTCCCGGCTGACCTTTGCCGTCTGCAGTGTCAGCTGTGGGTGACAGTCGTCACAAGTCGCAGGGAGGAGCTTCTGAGCATGCAGCTTTCGGGCGCTGACTGTTGGCGTTGGCTTGGGGACGTTCAGCGATTTTGTATTTATTCCGTAAACCAGGGGCAGGCCAGGCAGTTCTGACCTCATGTTCCTTGTAGATGCAGAGATGTGGGCAGGAGGGAGGGGGAGCATGTGCTGGCACATTTGTGCTGGCCGGGGAACTGGGGGCAGTCGTCATTTCGGTGTCTCTGTATTCTTGTTAAAGATGCCCTGACGTTTCTCCCTTCAGTATAATTATAATGATATTTTGTTTCCTTTCTCTATTTTGTTTATTTAAATATATATTTTTTGTATTGATTTCAGAGAGGAAGGGAAAGGGAGAGGCAGGAACATCTTCTATGTATATAAAAGGCTAATATGCAAAGTGTCCCCTCAGGAGTTCGACCGGGAGACCCGGAGTTTGATGGCTCCCTATGACGTGTGCTGACCACCAGGGGGCGCCACAGACCGAAGGCAGGCCCCCATCGGCTCTGACTGCGGCCAGGCCTAGGGACCCTACCCTGCACAAATTTCATGCACTGGGCCTCTGGCCTATGATGAGAGAGAATCATGGATCAGCTGCCTCCTGCACGCCCCACACTGGGGATCCAGCCCACAACCTGGGCATGTGCCCTGACGGGGAATAGAACTGTGGCCTCCGGGTTCCTAGGTGGATGCTCAACCACTGAGCACACCGGCCGGGCTTTTGTTTCCTTTTTCATGGTAATCTACATACAGGCTCTGGGCACAGGAGCGCGCCTCCTTGAGCTTCCTCCTAGACCTGCTCTGCTCTGCACCTGCCCGGATTCACACACCTGGGGCGCACAAGGTTTTCAGGCCCAGGGCGCAATGTGCCCTGGGGGAGGGGAGGGGGAGGCGAGCTGGAGGTGAGGGAGGTCCCCCGCGTCACCATCAGGCTCTTCCCAGCCACGGATGCTGCCGCCATGCGCACTGGGAGAGTCCCTGGGAGAGGCGCCCCGGCCCGCAAGCCCTAAGGATTGCCTGGGGACTGGGGGAAGTCCGTGCCCTTCCCAACCCAGGACTCGGCGGGTCAGAGGGCAGCTGGCTCCCCGGGAGCCGGGGCGGCTGGGGCAGGACAGGGCTCGGAGGGAGGGGGCCGGTGCTCGGGGGGTCCGTCCCGCGCCCCCCGCCCCCGAGTGCGCCGCCGGGCGGGGCCTTGGGCCGCGGGCAGGGGTGCGGGCAGCCACGTGGCCTCTCAGGAATGCGCGGGCGCGAGGGCGGGGCGCGGCTGAAGAATGGGCAGGCACTTCAGCCAATAGGCTCCTGGTGCCGTCCGGACCAGCCAATCACGATGTGGGGGTGGAGCCGTCCTCCCGTGGGCGGGGCCGAAGCGCATCCCGGCGGCGGACGCGGGGAGGGGAGAGGGGCGCTCGGAGGGACGGCAGCGGGCGCCCGGCGGGGTGAGTTTCGGGCCCCCGGGGGCGGGGGTCTCTGCTTGGTGATCGCGGGCCTGGGCATCCCCCCACCTTCAGCGCGGTGCCCTCTGTTCCCACCACAGTCAGTGCGGTTACCGGGGCCGCGAGCAGCCCCCCAACTTCAGCTGGTGGCCCCTGACTCGTGGGCGCAGTGCAGGGAATGGGCCAGGTCCTGGGAGCAGAACCCCGTTTTCGGCGGGCCCCCTCCGCCCGGGGGGACAGGGCGATGGGGCCGAGACTCGGGGACAGCCAGGAACCTGCTGGGGACCCCTGGGCGGGGTGGGGGGTCGGGGATGGGGCCCGACCGCAGTGAAGCCGCGAGGGGTGAGCGGAGGCGTTTGCGGGGAGCAGTCACTGGTGTGTTCCTGGGGCGCCGAGCCCTCGGCCTCAGGATGCAGACGCCGCACCGGTGCGCGCAGTCCCCGCAGGTAACGGCGGGCAGGCGAGGCCTGGTCCGCAGGTGCGCCGCCCGCCTGGCCGCCCTCCGCTGCGGGAGCCTGAGTGCGGGGCGCGGACGGCTGAGCAGGTCCTGGCTTCCCCTGGGAGCCCGTGTCCCGAGCAGCCGCGGGGTGCGGGGCGCTGGCTTCCGCTGGAGCAGAGGGTCTCGCTGGGTCCGCGCGCAGGGCTCCTGTCCTCTGTGGCCGAGCCCAGGTCACAGCTGCCCAGCCCGCTTCCTGCAGGGGCCGCTCACTGTCCCTCCGGGGAGGGCCGCCCGGACAGCGCTGTCACTGTCCACATGCCGAGGTCTCTCATGGGCGATAACTCTTCCTGGAAAAGGCCGGGGAGAGGGCTGCTGTGTGTTTTGCAATGCGATTGCCGCTGGCCGCTGACCGCTGGCCGCTGCTGTGGCTTGGCCCTGGGATGGGACCCAGTGGCCATCGCCGGCCGCGGGCTGCACGGCCGCCTTGTCGTCGGGTACGGACATCAGGGTGGCTGGTCAGTAAGAAAGGCGGTTCGTGTCAGGTGCCTTTTCATGATGGATTATTGCCCCATCCAGGCGGGCGACAGTCAGGGGAGAGGTCAAACGCAGTCCTTTCAGAGCGGCTTTTTATCCGTAAAAGTTAAGGCCGACTTTCTATTGGACCACCTTCATCGAGTTGCTGTTTTGAGATGCACATTTTCCCCGGAGTTATTTCTGTGGTGAGAGGAGCCGCTGGGGGACTGTGGGCAGAGGCGCCCTGGGCGGGGTGGACGGTCCCCCTCTCGCCGGTTACCTCACAGGCCCTCAGCTGACTCACAGCGTCGCCGGAAGGCAGGTGTGTGAGAACGCTCTTTAGCCAAGTGTGCTGTGCGTCCGCTGGGGCCAAGGGAAGATGCAGTGAGTTCGGCGGTCCTCCTCTGAACGATCGTTTTGAAAAACATCCTCATAGCAACGCAGAGGCCCTGCTGTGCGCTGCGTTATTCTCTTCTTGCACCAGGCAGCAGAGACGCCGCAATGAAACGCTCGGCTCTCCCTTGCCACGTCCGCTGGGATCTTGCCACATCGGGCACGGGCATGTTGGGTTCAGACGTCATAGTTCCCGCAGAAGGAGGGGAGTGGAGGGGAGTAGGACACAGGGGGACGCAGGTGTGAAACGTTGGGATGGGGGAGAGCGCTCAGTTAAGCCTCCTGGAAGTGGGGTGGTGGGGGAATGAGGGGCAGGCGTCCTGGGAAACTTGGCGAGGTCCCCCGGAGGAGGCCAGGGCTGTGTCCTGCAGGGTAAGGGCAGGTCCGGGTCCTGTCCTCGGTTATGGTCGCAGGGTGTCCTGCCTGAGAGCAGGTGAGGCGGGTGCAGAGTCCGGGGAGGACCCTCTCACCTGCCCCCTCACCCCCCACTGCCTCCTCTTCCGGACCGGGTCAGCCTCTGCCTGGCGAAGCCTCGAAGACTGTGTTCGCTTCTCTATTTGCTTTTGTGTGAGGGTTTTCAGATGAGCAGTCGCTTCATAAAAACGACCAGGCACCCGTGTCCTTCTACGGCCCGCTCCTCTTTCATCTTCGCAGGAGCGCACACCTGCACACCTGCCGGTGGAAGGGCTGCCCGCCGGCTGCCCATGGTTCATGTTTTTAGTAAACAATATTTAAAGGACTTTTAAAATATTCAAAATACTTCTTTTAGGTTTGAAGCATCCCTCTTCCATGAACCACTTCTGGTGCTAGGCATGGCTTTTTAAAGTAAAATAGTGTCCCCGCTGTCACGCTGTGCCGTGGCCGTGGTGAAAGGGGGCGTGGGGCGGCCGCACATTCAGTCATCCCGCTCAGAGCGACTCCGCTGGGACCTGAGCCTGTGCTCCCTCCCCCCGGGCTGCCCACTGGCCGCACAGTCTCAGCCTCAGACCCTCCACGCAGCGAGTCGCCTGGGAATTGATGCAGAAAACAGAAGGACTGACCACTCTGCCACTGGTCACCATGCAGGCCTCTGGGCCTCTGGGGCACAGGCTGTGCTTTTAAAAAGTTTATTTAAATACATTTTTATTGATTTCAGAGAGGAAGGGAGAAGGAGAGAGACAGCAACATCCATGAGGAGAGAGAATCATGGGTCGGCTGCCTCCTGCACACCCCGTACTGGGGATCGAGCCTGCAACCTGGGCATGTGCCCTGACCAGGAATTGAACCGTGACCTCCCGGTTCCTAGGTCGATGCTCAACTCCTGGGCCACGCTGGCCGGCCAGGCTGTGCTTCTGACGAAGCGGGAGGCTTGCGGTCTGGCTGTGGGGGCCGGACCCCCACACGTGGACGTCATTATTGTTAAAAAAGCAGCGTGGACGGGCAGACTCCAAAGTCAAATGTATGCGTGAGTTTCGAGCTCTCATCTCTCGCTGGGATGGAGGAGAGCCGGCCAGACAGGAGCGTCCGCGAAGGGCGTCTGGATGGAAGCGCCATTGCAGCAGCCGTTTCAGCTGTCGATTGTCGATTGCCTTGTGTCTCTGATGGGGACGCAGTGTGGCTTCAGCCGGGTTTGGGGGGTCAGGACACGGAGGCAGTGGCTGGAATAGGGGTGTTTATGCTCACGCGGGACTCAAGCCCATTGGAGAGGAGCCTTCCGGCTGGTTGGGCGGCTCTGTCTCTGGGGGTGCTTGGCGGGACCCCAATCCGCCATCCTCTGCCTTCCTTCCGCCTGGTGTCCGAGTGGCCTGAGTGCGTAGGGCACCTGCCAAGCTGTCAGGATCCGAGTCCTGGGGGTCAGTGAGGATCTGCCAAGCTGTCAGGATCCGAGTCCTGGGGGTCAGTGTGGGCCTGCCGAGCTGTCAGGGTCCGAGTCCTGGGGGTCAGTGTGGGCCTGCCGAGCTGTCAGGGTCGGAGCCCGGGGGGTCAGTGTGGGCCTGCCGAGCTGTCAGGGTCGGAGCCCGGGGGGTCAGTGTGGGCCTGCCGAGCTGTCAGGGTCGGAGCCCGGGGGGTCAGTGTGGGCCTGCCGAGCTGTCAGGGTCGGAGCCCGGGGGGTCAGTGTGGGCCTGCCGAGCTGTCAGGGTCGGAGCCCGGGGGGTCAGTGTGGGCCTGCCGAGCTGTCAGGGTCGGAGCCCGGGGGGTCAGTGTGGGCCTGCCGAGCTGTCAGGGTCGGAGCCCGGGGGGTCAGTGTGGGCCTGCCGAGCTGTCAGGGTCGGAGCCCGGGGGGTCAGTGTGGGCCTGCCGAGCTGTCAGGATCTGAGTCCTGGGGGTCAGTGTGGGCCTGCCGAGCTGTCAGGATCCGAGTCCTGGGGGTCAGTGAGGATCTGCCGAGCTGTCAGGATCTGAGTCCTGGGGGTCAGTGAGGGCCTGCCGAGCTGTCAGGGTCGGAGCCCTGGGGGTCAGTGAGGACGTGGCCAGGGTGGGGAAGCCGCTGAGCATGTTCTGGAGGCCGCAGGGCCTTGGCTTCCGGGGCCGAGCTCCGTGGAGGAATCGGTGTCCTGTCCTCTTAGTCGCCCCGCGGGTCTGAGCCTGGCCCCTGGCGGTGGGGCAGCTGCTGGGGGCGCGGCCGGGGAGAGGTGGGCGGCCTCACAGGAACTCTCTGCCCTCCATGGGCGATTCCGAAAGGGCCTCACCAGCTCCGGGCTGGCAGCGGCGTGGGCTGTGCCCCGTGAGCGCCAGACAAGCGGCCTCCTGGTAACGAGGGGGCAGCGGCTCCAGGGCGGTGGCAACCAGAGGCTGCGGGGACTGCAGAGCCGCCCTGCCCGCGAGGAGGGACCTGACATCCGCTAGGGCGCGGCTGCCCCTGGCGGTGAGGCTGGGGTGTCAGTGCCTCCCCCCCTCTGTGCTTTTCCCCCTCCTCCCCGCCCGGGCTCCTGGGGACCTGCGAGAGTCGCCCTGCAGTGTGTGGCCTGGACTGTGGAGCGGCTGTGCTGGGAGCCGGGCAGGTGCCGCCCCAGCCACAGGGACCCGCTCCCCGCCTTCTGATGCAGCCGCGGCCACACACTGCTCAGACTCGGTTCTCCTGCGGCCCGTGGGCAGCGAGAGACGCAGAAAGAGAAACGGACGCTGCCTGCAGAGATCGGGTTGGGAGAGCGGCCAGCCCCGGTCTCCATCCTGGGCAACGGCTCTTCATTCAGAACCGCAGTGGCCCTGGCTGGTGTGGCTCAGTGGATAGAGCGTCGGCCTGCGGACTGAAGGGTCCCGGGTTTGATCCTGGTCAGGGCACATGCCCAGGTTGCAGGCTCGATCCCCAGTAGGGGGCGTGCAGGGGGCAGCCGATCCATGATTCTCTCTCATCACTGATGTTTCTCTCTCTCCCTCTCCCTTCCTCTCTGAAATCCATAAAAATATATTAAACAAGCAAACAAAATATATACCAAACCAAACCCCGCAGTGCTGGCTGAAGAGGAAGCCACATGTGTACCCGCGTGTCCCGTCTCCCCTCGGCCTGTGTCCGGAGGAAGAGGGGCGCTGGGGTGACCCCGTGGCGGTGGGGAGCCCTGGCTGCCGCTGGGCGAGGCAGGGACGGGACCCTGGATTCGCCCTGGTTATTTCTGGAAGTTCCCATCCTGTGGGCCTGCGACTGGCAGCGGGAGCTCTCCCATAGCGGCTGTGACTGAGACCCAGCGTCCCCGCCCCCCCCCCAGTGCTGGTGCCGGGGCGCCTGTGGGCTGGGCAGCTCCTGCCTGCCCTGACGGCCTCTCTCCTCCCGCAGGGCTGCCCAGGGCCAGGGCCAGGCTCCCGGAGCCGCACAGCATGGACCCCCCGGAGCCCGAGCCGGAGCCGGAGCCACCTGCCCCCGCTGCCGCTGCCGAAGGTAAGGCTGGGCCTCGCTGGAGGTGGGTCGAGACGGTGCGTTCTCGCTGTGGTTTCATTGCTGTGGGTTTCCTCCTTGTGGGCGTCCCTGCTGTTAGGGTTTCTAGGCTGGACCTGACTGTGGTGGGTTTAACTGAGAAGGAGGGAGACCAGCGCTGCTCCCCCCTGACCCTCAAACATGGACACCCAACATCACCCGGGGTGTGTCCTCCTGCGGACTCACCAAACCACAGCTCCAGGTGCCCACCCAGTGGCTGCGTGAGCTCTGAGCCCCCAGGGGAGGCTGCTGCCTGAGCTCTGACACCTGAGGGGAGGCTGGGGTGGGTGGGGCGGGCGGTGAACGCATTCACCTCTGCCCAGCTGTTCCAGCCTGGGGGGGTACCCGGGAGGTGTCATACTGAGGCTTTATTTCTGGCTCCCACTTCTGTCCGGTGGGTCTGTGTGTCCGTGTTGGTGCGGGTGCCGCACTGCACGGGATGTTGGTGCCTGAGCAGCACGACCACACGGGGACCTCTGCAGGGAGCTCAGACCTGGTGAGAAGAACAGCTGGGGGGGAGGGGGGAGCCAGCCTGGGGGCGTGGCCTGTGAGGGCCTGGCCTTGATCTGGGGGACAGTCCCCTGCAGCACAGGCAGTGCCACCCCAGTAGCTGCCACCCCAGTGCCACCCAGGGCCAGGAGGAGGCGGGAAGGATGTGAGCAGCCCCTTGTTGGAGGGCCCAGGGCAGCTGCCTCTTACAACACTCCTTCTTTGTTTTAAACAATAAAAGATTTAAAAACAAAATAGCCTTCATCAGAAATAAGAGAAACATGGCATCTTAGATAAAACTTTCGTATTATAATTAACTCTTGCTCTTTAGGCCTCGGGAACAAAATGTATGACTTTTATCTCTGAACTGAAAAACGCGAGTTCTTTCACTGGTCCTCGCTGTGCTGACCTGGCTGGAGCGTTCAGGCTATGAGTGGGCGAGCCGTCCTGGAGGGCTGTTGACGTAGGGGCGTGGGGTGGGGGTGGGTGGCCTGTCCCTGCCCTGAGCCCTGCGGCGGGCGCTCGCTGGGGGCCAGGCCAGCCCACCCGTCTCCCAGGCCTGCGTCACCAGCGCCAGAGGGGACGCTGGAACTGTGGCTGCAGGTCTGGCTGGCTCAGGCGCGTGGGCAGCTGGGCAGACTCCAGCAGATGGATGCCCATGCCTTCCCTGGGCCACCTCCCCTGCTCTGGGCAGCCCAGAACCCTAACGGACTCGCATCCCGTGGGATTGGAAACGTAACATTTTCACTGTGTGACTCACAGTGAGAAGCAGAAACCTCTTTGTTACTGAAATATGCACGGGAGCGGCCGGTGTGGCTCAGTGGATGGAGTGCTGCCCCATCACCCAGAGGTCACCGTTCAGTTGCCAGTCAGGGCACATGCGGTCACCGCGCGCGAGGGCACAGCCTGGCGCGTGGGGTCTTCCGCCAGGACGGGTGCAGAACGGCAGCGTGCTTTCTGATGCATCGGAGGTGTGCTTCCTGCGCCGGGGGACGGACCTGGCCGGGAGGGCGCAGAGGCCGCTCCCACAGCGTCGATGCGCGTCCGTCCGTGAGCAGGGGCAGCACCGGGGCGCCCAGGCCCCTAGCGCCTCAGAGGCGCTGCGTGCGGCACCGCGGTTAAGGGAAGACCTACACCTTCGGAGGGATTTCTTTGTTACTCTCATTCCATTCTGCGGATTGGGGTTCTGCTTGCAGTTCTATTGGGGAAATTAGTGTTCTTGCGGGAACATGTTTGAAGCCACTCATCTGCTCACCATTCATTCACTCACTCTCTCACTCTCACTCGCTTACTCACTCTCACTCGCTTACTCACTTGTTCACTCACTGATTCACTCACTCTCATTCATTCACTCATTCACTCATTCACTCACTCATTCATTCACTCACTCACTCACGCACTCATTCATTCATTCACTCATTCACTCACTCATTCACTCACTCACTCACTCATTCATTCACTCATTCACTCACTCATTCATTCACTCATTCATTCACTCATTCACTCACTCATTCATTCATTCACTCACTCACGCACTCATTCATTCATTCACTCATTCACTCATTCACTCACTCATTCACTCACTCACTCACTCACTCATTCACTCACTCATTCATTCACTCATTCACTCACTCTCATTCATTCACTCACTCACTCACTCATTCACACATTCACTCATTCACTCACTCACTCACTCATTCATTCACTCATTCATTCACTCATTCACTCACTCACTCACTCATTCTTTGCACAAGTGTCTGGGGAGTGAGCAGTTGGCAGGCCAGTCTCACCCGAGAGTTGCGTGGCACATGGCGAACAGGGCACCCGTCCTCAGCAGCTCCTGCCTCTCCCTGTGTGACCTACTGAGGCGCTGCCTCTTATTTTGTGGGGAGGGGAGGGGAAGGGGGAGAGGGGAGCAGGGAAGGGGCTGAGAGTCACCATGTAGACCTGAGGACACTCGGCACAACCACTGTCCCCTTCATGGGGGAGCGTGCGTTTTAGGGCCCAAAGTTCACGCTTTGCTTCGTTCCTTCCCAAGTGTTTAGGAGCTTGTTTTGTGCCTCATCTTTCAAAGCTCTGTTCTTCTTAGAAACAGTTTCCTGGAAGTCACTTGTGGGGGTGACCTAATCGTTAAGGCTCAGCAGCGTGAGCTGTAACTTCGGGAGGCGAGTGCCGACAGAAGGAGCCGTGTGTGTCTCAGAGTCAGGCCCGTGTCTGACCCTTGCCCGGCCGCCCTCAGAACAGGGCTCTTTTCTGTCGCCGCGCCAGGGTGCTGGTTGGCATCGTTCCCGAAACTGTGCGGCAGCATGAACTTAGATGGTGACGATGGATCTGGGAGGTGCCCTGGACACGTCTGTGCTTCCCCCCGGAGACGGATGGCTCTAGCGCCCCTTCACCAGCTTATTCAGTGAATAAGGTGACGCCTAGTGCCGGAGCCCAACACGCTTCCCCACGGCACACTCTTCTCCTGCGTGGGGACCCGGGGCTGGGGACGTGCGCGAGTCGGCGACCGCGCGGGGGCAGGGCCCTCGCCGGGCTTGTTTCTTACGGGCTCGGCTGGGCCGCGAGGTCATGGAACAGACTTGCTCTAGCAGCTTCTGGGGAGCTGGTGGCTTTGTGTCTTAGTTAAACATGAGCATCTCCACGAAGAGGAGCCGGACAAGCGGACTCGTGTGCTTGTGGAAACTTCGAGAAATGCAGAAAAACAGAGAAAATGCCGAGTACAGTCTCCCTCGGTTCTCGAGCGCCTCCCATCTCGGCCAGTTCGCCTCTCAGCCTGGCACCCTTTCCTGCCGACACCGTGTGATCGGTCACGCGTCCCTCGGCGGCAAAGGAGAGTGCGCGAGTGGAGTCAGTTCTCCGCCAAACCTCACGTGGCCAATGTCCCAGGAACGTGTGCTGTGAACATTTTCATGTTGCTTGGCTTTTGTTGCTTCTTATTAACGAGTGGCTCGGTGCACAAAAATTTGAGAGTGAGGGAGAGTGGAGGAGAGGGGGAAACATCGATGTGAGAGGAACACATGGATTGGTTGCCTCTTGCTCGAGCTCTGACCAGGGCTCCGGCTTGGGCCAGGAAGGAGCCTGGAACCAAGGTACGTGCCCTTGACTGGAATCGAATGCGGGACCTGTTGGTCTGCAGGCCGACGCTCTAGCCACTGAGCCACACCGACTAGGGCTCTCCTGTCCTTTCTGTTTTTAAAGTGTTTATTTGTCGATTAAACAGTACAGGAGACGTGCTGAAAACAAGGAAGGTTAAAACGCGGGGTCACGTGGGGGTCTGGAACGGATTAATTCAATTCCCAGGATTTCTAACGGGGGCAATGATTCGGTTTTCCAACAGCCTTCTGGAACGAGTTAAGTTGGAGAGCCGAGGTTCCGCTGTGTCTGCAGCATGCAGAGGCAGCCGCCGTGACAGTCGCACTTCAGGCTGCGTGCGCGGAGGGCGGGGTCTTCTCTTGTGGAGAAGCGTCCATAGCACAGCGCTGACCATCTCCCCACGGGGCCCCGCTCAGCGGGGTCAGGGGCCACGTCACCACCACCCCCAGAGCGCTCTCATCTTCCCCCCCGCCCCCAGCACCACCCCCCTCCTGTCTCTGAACCGAGGGCTCCAGGGACCCCCGAGTGGGATCTCGGTGTCGGTCCTCTGCGCTGCCTCTCGCTGGGCAGTGGCCTCAGGCCCCTCGCGTGGCCGCAGGTGGCAGCGTCTCCTCCGCTGCAGGACCGAGGACGCTCCGTGGGCGATGGGCTCGTTCTTATCCGCTGACCCGCCCCGGGCTCGCGGGTGCACCCCCCTCGGCGTCCTGTGAGCGCAGTGCACGCGAGGCCGTCTGAGCCCCGGCTTTCAGCAGGGGGACCGCGGGCCCACGGGTGATTGCGTGTCATCACCAGACCGGTTTCCATGGCGGGCACCCCGGCCCCAGCCCCCACGCCCTCCCCGCATCCGTTATCTCCTAGTAAATGAGTGAAGAGACACGTTTAAACACTATGTTCACTGAACTTGTGAGGAGCGCCTCTCCATGTTGCCGAGAGCTCCTCATCGTCCCACAGCCTCTCCTTGCACAAGTGGGTCCTCATCTGAAAAATGATCTTTCGTTATAAGACACCTCGGTTGTTTCTTCAAAACTGTCCTGCTGCCGAACCGTTTGGCTCGGTGGATAGAGCGTCGGCCTGCGGACTCAAGGGTCCCGGGTTCGATTCCGGTCAAGGGCATGTACCTTGGTTGCGGGTGCATCCCCAGTGGGGGGCGTGCAGGAGGCAGCTGATTGATCTCTCTCATCGATGTTTCTAACTCTCCATCCCTCTCCCTTCTTCTCTGTAAAAATCAATAAGACGTATTTAAAAAACAAAAGCCAAAAAGCTGTCCTGCTACTCCAGTCCTGAAAGATTCCCGATAGTTTCCGGAGGGCAAGTGCTGAGCGACGGGGCGCGGAGGAAGGACGGACGGATGCGTGCAGGGCTGGCGGCGCCGTGGGAAGGCCCCGCGTACACGCTTATCGGGACAGCGTGTTAAACAGACTCTCCTGAAGCCTTTTCTGGGTCCCACTTCACTATTGGTCATTGTTCCAAAACATGGAAAAGCTAGGGGAACGTGCTCTCGACTGTCCCTCGGGCCCTGTGTGCCAGGGACAGGTGGGGGCGGCCGCCCTGGGCCCCCGCGGCCCCCTCCCGACGGCAGCGAAGGGGCGGGACTCTGGACCTCTCTCCTCATTCCCAGGAGAAAGGAAGTGTCTGCTTCCTCCCAGAGACCCGCTAGGATGTGCCCCTCCTTCCCCAGCTGCAGCGGCAGGAAGCGCCTCCTGGGGGGTTTCTCTTGTTGCTGCTGGTTTTTATATATTTACTGACTTCAGAGAGAGGACGGGGGAGAGAGGGAGAGAGAAACATCCGTGATGAGAGAATCACTGATCGGCTGCCTCCTGCATGCCCCCTACTGGGGATCAAGCCTGCAACCCGGGCCTGTGCCCTGACCAGGAATCGAACCCATGACCTCCTGGTTCCTAGGTCGATGCTCAACCACTGAGCCACACCGGCTGGGCTGGAAGTTTGTACCTTTTGATCCCTTCACACATTTCTTTTTAAAGAAAATATTTATAAATTTAATCTTGTAAGTATTTTTATATGTAACATACACAAAACACAGGTCAACATAGAGGCTTGCAATGCCATTTTACACCCTTTTAGTTCCAGGTATGTTTTTCCCTGCAAATTTTTAAAGAGAGCCCCGCTCTGTGATTTGGGATTGCGGCCACCTAGTCCGCAGGACCCGTGGTTTGTGCTGTAAAAGCCGCACGTCTGCAGGCCTTTGCCCTCCCAGCCTCCCTGCCTCTCAACCTCCCAGCCTCCCGGCCTCCCAGCCTCCCAGGCTCCCGGCCTCCCGGCCTCCCGGCCTCTCAACCTCCCGGCCTCCCAGCCTCCCGACCTCCTAGCCTCCCAGCCTCCTAGCCTCCCGGCCTCCTGGCCTCCAGCCTCCCGGCCTCCCGGCCTCCCAGCCTCTCAGCCTCCCAGCCTCCTGGCCTCCCGGCCTCCTAGCCTCCCAGCCTCCCGGCCTCCCAGCTTCCTGGCCTCCTGGAAGAGCAGCCTAGGACAGAGCTGCCGGGGGTGACGAAGCTCGCAGCCCAGGTTCCGCCCGAGGATCCTTGTGTCCCAGGAATGGGAACCAGGGACTTAAGCCCCCGCCCTCCCCCCCCCACCCCCCCGTGGCCCATCACCCACTGGGCTGGGAGCTTCCCTGGCTCTCTGGCCGTGGGGGAAGGTCTCCGATGAGGAAAGTGCTCTCCTCCCCTTTCTTTCCCACGGTGAGTTGTGGGGCCCATGAGGAAGTCAGAGCACCGACCCCCACGCCCACCCCGAAGGTCTCCCCCAGCGCAGGGGCGGCCAGCACCTCGCCGCCCAGCCCGTCTCTGTCCGGAACGTGGAAGTGGTTTTGCTGGTGATACCTGTTAACACTGTCATTTCTGTTAAACTGTAGGAAATGAGGTAAAATATGATCCAAACAATAACGAGGAGGAGGAGGAGGAGGAGGAGGAGGGAGAACAGTTCGATTTTGACAGCGGAGATGAGGTTCCAGAAGCGGACAGAGGAGCCCCGGGCGCACCCGAGGCCGGGCACGTGGGAGCCGCCGCCCCCACCAGCTCAGGTGAGTGCCGGGCGCCCGCGGACCCAGGCCGCCACCCCCCCCTCCCCGCAGGAAGGGCCGCTGGGCGGGGTCCCCAGGGAGGTGTGCCGTTCTGTGACGTGGGAGCTGGAATGCCTGCATGGAAACGGCCGTGTGTCTTCGAACTTGCGCTGCTTCCAGGGTGTCCGTCTCGCTGTGTGCCCCCTTGTACACGTTGGAGGGCCAGGGACTCCTGGTCTAGTAAGAACGGCCTCTTCCGTGTGCCGCTGCCGACCGGGAAGGCGCTTTAAGTTTAAGCGGTGCTTCTGGGGCGGGTCTGATGCAGGACTTTCCATGTTGGTGCCAGGAGGGGCCTGGCTGCCTTACTCGCTGCCCACGGACGGTCGGGCCAGCCTTGCGTTTCCTTGTCTGTAGCAGAAGCTCTCACCAGGCCACGGGCCCTCCTGCCCCAGATTCACCCTCCTGAGGTCGGGTGCGCCCTGCACGCCGTGGCCCAGGGAGGGATCCTCCAGGAGCCCTGGCGCTGGTGGAGGGGGCACTGCTGCCTGAGCGCGTGGGCCTGACGCTGGGTTTGCCTCCAGGAGGGGAAGACGGGACAGGGACCGACAAGGGCGCGCCGGTGGAACCGACTAAGCTTGGGGTCCCAGCGAGAGTGAACCCCTACTCCATCATCGACATCACGCCCTTCCAGGAAGAGCAGCCTGCGCCCCCAGACCCCGAGGCCCAGGAGGAGGGCGTGAGCCTGCACGTGCCCAGCGGGTACTCGGTGCCCGTGCCCTGTGGCTACGCCGTGCCCTCCAACCTGCCCGCGCTCCTGCCCGCCTACTCCAGCCCCGTCATCGTGCGCTCCGTGTCCCTGGATGAGGAAGGTGGGCCCTTTCCCTGCACCGTCCTCCCCGTGCCAGATGGACTTCGTGTGCACATGAGTGTGTGTGTGCAAGCATGGAGGTGTGGCTGTGTGAGTGTGCACACGAGTGTGTACATATGTGGAAATGTGTGTGCACAAGTGTGTGTATGTGGGAATGCGTGTGTAGATTAGTGTGTGCATGGGAATGTGTGCACAGGAGTGTATGTGTGCATGAGTGTGTATAAGTGTGTGCGTGCATGCATATATGTGTGGTTGTGTGTGAATGTGTGTGTGCATGACTGTATATGGTGTGTGGGAATGTGTGTGCATGAGTGTGTACGCACGCGTGTGCATGAGAGTTTATATGTGTGTGTGCATGCACACGTGTGTGCATGCATGCATGCGTGGCTGTGTATGTCTGAGTGTGTGTGCACGTGTGCATGTGTGAGAGCAGGGAAAGTGTGGTTATTGTCCACTATCACCAACTTAACACACTGCGGACCAGTAGTTTTATTGCCAGCTTTACCCAGTGGCCAGGTAAGTTTCTATTGAACGAGTACAAAAATCGTTTTACATAAATGTTAAAGGCACGCTTTAAAATTAAGTACCCATTGCATTTTGAAGTTATTTATTACGTGTTCTTACAAGCTACTATCTCTTTAAAGTATGATCTTTGTAAAACGCTGTGTGATATGAAGCGAGAATTCTCGTGACCCGTCCGCTATGTGTGAAGCACTGCGACCTTGAACATCTCCTGAGGTCGCCATGTAGACACACTTTCACATAGACTCCAGCTGTCATTTCCCATGGAAACGGAGGGAGTCCGGTGTTCCCTCTGCACTCCGACCTGACTTGTTGGGTGTCGTTTTATTTCTGGCTGTTCCATACGACCCTGGGTCATCGCTCCGTATTGTAACCCCACGTGGAAGACATTTTACTGAAACCCAAACCACCTCGAATCCATCACTTAACCATCATTATGCTAAGATCAGCCGATCGGTGATCAGAAACAAAGTAGGAAATCGTTTTAAGGATGAAAATCAACTTGCATTTTTATCAGCCTTGAGCAATACGCGTGTTTTCTTTCTTGGCAGAGACCCCCGAAGCGGCGGAAGACGGCCAGGGCAACTCTCTGAGTTCTGAGGACCCAGCAAACAGGTACCCGTGTGGCTTTCCCGGGGAGTCTGAGCCGACCGGTCCCTGAAGCCGAGTGCAGAGGGCCGGTGCGTGGAGCTGCTGGCCGCCCGGCCCCCGTGGCTCCTCCCCTCTGTCCGTCAGACTCTGCCCTCTCTCCAGGGCCCCCAAGCGGGTCCCCCTGAACTCAGGGCTGCAAGACGCTAGTGTTACTCCGTGTGGAAGACGAGCGATGAGGCCACAGCCAAACAGAATGAGCCGTGCAGGCCCCAGTCTCCCCCGGGAGACGCACCGTGTGCCTCAGTTTCACAAAGGCTCTTAGACCCTTCGATGGAAAGAAAAAGATGCTTAACTCTGTTTAAGCCAGATTTCCCCCGAATCCTGCCCGCTGGTCTCATTACCGGCCTTTCTTCACACCACTTGCCTTTGCACGTGCAGTTCCATCTGCTGGGTGTGCCCCGGAGAACCCCCTCCCTGGCAGACTCCTGTCACCCCGCAATGCTGGGTGTTCAGCGGTGGCAGAGCGCCCGGTCATGAGCAGCTGTGAGAATCAGTGGGAGGGCCGCGGTCCTGTCTGGGGAATGTGCCCCTGGCGCATGTGGTGGCACCTGTGTACTTCGGGGACACGCGGCAGCGGGAAGGATGGTCCGTGGTGACGTACCGTTTGCTTTCCTGCAGTGAGGACCGGGCCCGAGCCGAGGACAGCCCCCTGGCCCGCTGGGTGGCAGACCCCGCCAACACCGCCTGGATGGACAGTAAGCTGCCCACCCGCCAGGGCTGCCTGTGCCCCATGTCCTCGCCACGCCCAGCGCCGGTGCCAGGCTAGCCCGTTAGCCTCGTGCCCTGCGTCGGGGCTAAAGGTTATGACACCCGTCACTTACCTCCCGTCAGTCACTGGGATCTCTGCCTCCCAGCACGGCGCCCCCTGGTGTTTGCGAAATGGCTGTGGGTTCTGGACAGAGGTGCTGCCCACAGGCCCCAGGCCCCAGCCAGCAGCCTCCACCAAGACACTGAAACGGCTTCTTCCCACCAGCCAGTGCCTCTCCCTGGGTGGGGGGTGGGGGGTGCAGCCACCACGGACCCAGGCCTGGCCACGTGTGGTTAGAGAGGGCAGCTGCTTCAGCTGGATTTACTTGTTGTTTTTTGTTACTCCTCACCAGAGGATATTTTTCCATTGATTTTCAGAGAGAGTGGAAGAGAGAGGGAGAGACAGACAGAAACATTGATGTGAGAGAGACACATCGATTGGTTGCCTCCTGCATGCGCCTCGCCCAGGGCCTGGGCCAGGGAGGAGCCTGCAACCGAGGTACATGCCCTTGACCAGAATCGAACCTGGGACCCTTTGGTCCACAGGCCGCTGCTCTATCCACTGAGCCAACCTGGCCAGGGCGATTTACTTGTTTTTTAATTTTTAAAGGAAAAGTGAAGATTGCTTTCCCAGTCGCCTCCTTTTTCCCCCGCTGATAGCTGTGTGATCGTTTCTATGACCGACTCGCAGCCATCGTAGCCGCCTCCCAATTATGAAATCCCCCTGGAGGGTTCGCCCTGGCTTGATTAGGACATTGTAGTAACTAAGAGCTCAGTGTCATTAGCTGATCCCGCTGGGGGGAGGGGCGGGTAGATGAGGATCGTCACGGGATGCTCTGTATTGATTTTATTTCCAAAGGAAATGAGTGCCCCCCTCGCTCCACCCCCCCCACCCCCCCGCTGTGCGTCCGCTCCAGATGACAGTGGGGATGGCTGTATGTGAAAGGGGCTCCGTAGACTGCAGCCCCTGGGGCCTGGCGGGAGCAGACACTCACGGGGTTGGAGGCGGTAAATATTGGGGCTGTTCCGGAATTTGCCCCCTGCCCCCTGCCCCCCGACCCCGCAGGTGGGCGGGCGCAGTGGCTCCAGGTCAGGGACTGGCCTGGGACTTGCCTCCTTTTCTTCCTTGTGTTGCTTTGTCACCTGTGACCTTGTGGTTTCCACGTGGGAGGCAGTGACATTGGCGAAGTCCACGTCAGCATAGAGCCCTTTCCGGCAGCCAGATGACTCACACGTCGTTTGTCCTCCACGACCCGCTACCTCGGACCCTCTGCCGCGCACACGCGGGGTTTGCCCACGGAGCTCCTCCCACGTGATTTAAGGAAACGAATGCTCCACATGAAGCTGCTTGAGAAATCCTGTCCTCAAAGCCCAACATGTTCATGAACTAATCCTCACCGAGGACATTGTTCCCATTGGTTTTTAGAGAGAGTAGGAGGGAGAGAGAGAGAGCGACAACCACACCCAAAAACATGGTGAGGGAGACGAATCGATTGGTTGCCTCCCGCCTGTGCCCTGACCCGGGCCAGGGATCGGAGCTACACCCGCGTACGTGCCCTTGACCAGGAATCCAACCCTTGACCCTTTGATTTGCAGGCCGAGCTCTAGCCACTGAGCACAGCGGCCAGGGCTTGAGAGCTCACCATTTCTCCCCCGCCTGGGGCTGTCCTTCGCATCCAGGGCACACGCGTTGCCTCGTTGGCTCATGTGAAGTTCCCCACTTTGCCCCACGGCACTGGGCGGTCCCTTGTTTCTGACACGAATGCCACCTCGAGTTTCTGTGTCAGGACACATCACCCTCATAAACGTCATGCTTGTCAAAGGGCCACGGGGAGACGTGCCGTCGAACATAGAATAGTGGGGGGGGGGGGGTTGGCCTGGAGACACAGAACTCCCTGGGGAGACTTCCCAGCCGGTCCGTTGGGAGCAAGCATGTCACACTCGCCGCCCACGGGCTGCGTGCCTCGTTTATCTGGCCCGTGCTAGCCTTGGAGTTTGACATGCTTGCTTTAGAAGGATTTCCTTCAATCCAAGACAACGCCCTGCCCTCACCGTAGTGCTCACGCTTGGCAGGTGCCGCATGACCGCACCGACGGCTGCGGGACGGCTAGCTCCCTGGAGACGGCGGCCTGTCCCCGGGAACGTGCGCGCGGCTGGTCCGGCTCGGTTTTCACCGGTCCCTCCTCTCCTTCCAGACCCAGAGGAAGCCATTTACGACGACGTGCCAAGGGAGGAGTCAGACTCCGAACCAGGTGGGGCTCCGTCTGGCGCTGAGTGTTGGGAGACTGTGGGCCGTCTTTCCTGGGCGTGCAGACGCTCCCTGTGCACACTCCTCTGCGTGCGCCTGTGTGTGTCACATCCGTGATTCCTGGGTCTCTGAGTGTCTCGCTGGGCCCGTGTGGTGGGCGCACCTGTGTGTGTTCACATCACAGCACTTCATCGAGGGACGGTATCTTTTTTATTGATTTCAGAGAGGAAGGGAGAGGGAGGGAGAGAGAAACTCAATGATGAGAGAGAAGCATTGATCGGCTGCCGCCTGCACGCCCCAACCTGGGGATCAAGCCTGCCACCCGGGCATGTGCCCTTGACTGGAATAGAACCTGGGAACATTCAGTCTGCAGGCCGACGCTCTATCCACTGAGCCAAACTGGCTGGGACTAGACTGCAGTGGTTCTCAACCTTCTGGCCCTTTAAATACAGTTCTCATGTTGTGACCCAACCATAAAATTATTTTCGTTGCTACTTCATAACTGTAATGTTGCTACTGTTATGAATCATGATGTAAGTATCTGATATGCAGGATGGTCTTAGGGGACCCCTGTGAAAGGGTCGTTCGACCGCCAAAGGGGCCGCGACCCACAGGTTGAGAACCGCTGGACTAGAGGGTGTTATCTTCATTATCCTAAAGAAGCAGAAAGAATTGAAATAATGAAAGTATGAATGAAAAGTTCAGAAACATGTAGGTGAGATGCACCAGCACACGTCTAATAAGTGAGAAAATAGAAGAAAAGACTTAAGACGTTCTAGAAACAAAGGAAGACACAAGTTCCCAGACGGCAGAACTGTGGCTTCGGAGCGGGCCGTGCACCAGCCAGGCCACACCCGGGCCTGTGCAGGTGACACTCCGGCACCGCGTCCTGGTGAGCCCCCGACAGGACACACCTGGGCCAGTGCAGGTGACACTGTGGCGCCGCGTCCCAGCGAGCCCCGACAGGACACACCTGGGCCTGTGCAGGTGACACTGTGGCACCGCGTCCCAGCGAGCCCCGACAGGACACACCCGGGCCTGTGCAGGTGACACTGTGGCACCGCGTCCCGGCGAGCCCCCCGACAGGCCACACCTGGGCCTGTGCAGGTGACACTGTGGCACCGCGTCCCGGCGAGCCCCCGACAGGACACACCTGGGCCTGTGCAGGTGACACTCCGGCACCGCGTCCTGGCGAGCCCCGATAGGACATACCTGGACCTGTGCAGGTGACACTCCGGCACCGCGTCCTGGCGAGCCCCCGGCAGGACACACCTGGGCCTGTGCAGGTGACACTCCGGCACCGCGTCCTGGCGAGCCCCCGACAGGACACACCTGGGCCTGTGCAGGTGACACTCCGGCACCGTGTCCCGACGAGCCCCGACAGGACACACCTGGGCCTGTGCAGGTGACACTCTGGCACCATGTCCTGGCGAGCCCTGACAGGCCAGGCTGGCACGGTGCCCACGAGGAGCCGTGATTCGGGAGGAGGAGCAGCCGTCTCTGGCTGGGGGACGGTAGGATGATATGCGCAGAGCGCCGAGGAAAACGTGCCATCTCAACCCAGGTTGCCACTGTCAGCCGAAGTAAACCTCTTTAAAGAGATGGAGCCCGGGGAGAGCACCCACTCACAGGCCTGAAGAAACAGTGTCGTTCCCACGTCAGGGAAAAGGATGCAGAACATAATGGGAAGCAAAGAGAACAGTGAGCGAATAAACTGGCCGATGAATGAGTCCGTGGGAACGGCACCGAGTCGGCAGCCAGCGAGCTGTGAGCGGGGCTGTCCGGGATCCTGCCGCCCTGCGGTGTTCAGGAGAAGCGTAGACGCTGGCTTCTGTGTGAGAGGCCATGTCTGTAGCCCATGGGTTACCGCTGAAAGGTCAGAAAGAGAGGATTTAACTTCAGGATTAGCAGAGCAATACCCAAGCTGGGAGCCAGCAAGAAAAATAGAGTGAGACAGCATGGTGAACGGCATGGGAGGAAGACGGGAGAACGAGCCCCAAGTATTGCTACTTACAGCAAATGTGATGGGACTCCAGTCGCCCGGAACAGAGGGTCTCCGGTTGATAACAGCAAAGCCAGACATGTATTGTGAGAGCTACATCAAGACACAGGACATCTGTACGTAAGCATTTGTCCCTAAGAAGGATCTAAGCCAATGCTAACCACTAGATAGCCAGTTTGACTGGGTAATATGTGATGTGTTAGCTACAAAACACGACTAATTAGAGCAGCGGTTCTCAGCCTGTGGGTTGTGACCCCTTTGGGGGTCAAATGACCCTTTCACAGGGGTCGCCTAACAGTGGTCGGCAAACCACGGCTTGCGAGCCACATGCGGCTCTTTGGCCCCTTGAGTGTGGCTCTTCCACAAAATACCGACTTCTGCGCATGGGCCATGAAGTTTCAATGCACTGTACGTGCAGGCCGGCACGTGGTATTTTGTGGAAGAGCCACACTCAAGGGGCCAAAGAGCCGCATGTGGCTCGCAAGCTGTGGTTTGCCGACCACTGGCTTGAGACCATCGGAAAACATATAATTACCTATTGTCTTTGTGATTAATCACTATGGTTTAATTACGTTCAATTTGTAACAATGAAAATACATCCTGCATATCAGATATTTACATTACGATTCATAACAGTAGCAAAATTATAGTTATGAAGTAGCAATGGAAATAATTTTATGGTTGGGGGTGACTGTTGTGCCCAGATTTCAAGATTCCCAAGGGCCCACCAGGGAGCCAGCGAGTCCGATGCAAAAGCAAAGAGTCCTTCATTTCAAGCTAGCTTGAGCTCCCCATCCACCACACTCACCAACACAACCGCAAGCCAAGTGGCCGAGAGAGAGAAAACTCTGTGTGGAGAGAGGTTTTATAGGGGGTTGGGTTAAGGGGAGGAGAAAGGACTGTGGGCCCTGCTGATTGGCCAGGCGCAAGTTGGTGTCTTGTTACACAGGATGTGGTCATATCTATGGCGACTTCCCTTGATTGTCATTGGTTAGTTTAAAGAAGTCCTGGGTGTGGCTAGCAGAGGCTTGGCTTCCGGGAAGAAGCCTTGCTGAGCACATGGCCAAGGTAAGATGGAGGGCATAGCCCTTACCCTGGGGCAAGATGGAGGGCATAGCCCTTACCCTGGGGCAAGGTGGAGGGCGTAGTCCTCACCCTTTCAGTGACCACAACATGAGGAACTGTATGAAAGGGTCGCGGCATCAGGAAGGTTGAGAACCACTGACTTAGAGATTCCTCCACAAGAGAATGATGTCATAGTTCTAAAGGTGTGTGCATCCAGCAGCCCGGCCGGTGTGGCTCAGTGGTTGAGTGTTGACTTATGAACCAGGAGGTCAACTTCCGGTCAGGGCACATGTCTGGGTTGTGGGCTTGATCCCCAGTGGGGGGTGGGCAGGAGGCAGCCAATCAATGATTCTCTCTTATCATTGATGTTTCTATCTCTCTCCCTCTCCCTCTCTGAAATGAATTTTTAAAAAAGTCACATGACCACACACACCCCAAGGTGAAGTCAGAGTGGAAGTTAGGAAATGTTTTGACTTGAATAATAATGAAAATATTACATACAAATTTATAGAGTGGATTTAGAATAGTCAGGAATTAAAGAGATTATGGCATCTGCTAAAAAAACCGAAAAAAAGAATGAAAAATAATGAGCTCAGCATCCGACTCAGCAGAGTCAGAGAAAGGGGAGGGAAAAAGTCAAAATGATACACACATCAGAACCAAGAGACAGAAAACAGAAGAGAGGACCCACCAAACGCAAGCACGATTCTCTGAGAATACAGAGCAGGAGTCCCCTGTGAGGACACCCGTGTCATTGCCTTGGCGTGTCCTTCCAGGTCAGAGGGGCCGAGGTGATAGAGCCCTTTCAATCTAGGTGAAGATTACTTATAGTCTTATTAGGCCATTGACCCATCCGTCTATCCACCCACCCTTCCATCCATCCACCCATCCATCCATCCATCTATCCACCCACCTACCCATCCATCCATCCATCCATCCATCCATCCATCCATCCATCCACCCACCCATCTGTCCACCCACCCTTCCATCCATCCATCTACCCACCCTTCAATCCATTCATCCATCCACCCATCCATCCGTCCATCTACCTACCCACCCTTCCATCCATCTACCCACCCACCCTTCCATCCATCCATCCATCCATCCATCCACCCACCCACCCACCCTTCCATCCATCCATCCATCCATCCATCCATCCATCCATCCATCCTTCCATCCTTCCGTCCATTCGTCCATTCACCCATCTATCCGTCCATCCACTTACCCACCCTTCCATCCATCTACCCATCCATTCATCCATCCATCCAAACATCCATCCATCCATCCATCCATCCATCCATCCATCCACCCACACACCCACCCACCCATCCATCCATCTAACCATCTATCCACCCATCCATTTATCTACCCATCTATCCATCCATCCATCCATCCATCCATCCATCCATCCATCCATCCATTTATCCACCCATCCACCCACCCACCCACCCTTCCATCCATCTACCCATCCATTCATCCACCCTTCCATTCATCCATCCATCCACCCACCCACCCACCCACCCACCCTTCCATCCATCTACCCAACCATTCATCCATCCATGGATTTCGTGTTGGTGTGATTGTGGATTTCGTGTTGGTGTGATTGTGGATTGCGTGTTGGTGTGATTGTGGATATCATGTTGGTGTGATTGTGGATTTCGTGTTGGTGTGATTGTGGATATCATGTTGGTGTGATTGTGGATTTCGTGTTGGTGTGATTGTGGATTGCGTGTTGGTGTGATTGTGGAGTTTGTGTTGGTGTGATTGTAGATTGTGTGTTGGTGTGATTGTGGATTGCGTGTTGGTGTGATTGTGGATTGCATGTTGGTGTGATTGTGGATTGCGTGTTGGTGTGATTGTGGATATCATGTTGGTGTGATTGTGGATATCGTGTTGGTGTGATTGTGGATATCGTGTTGGTGTGATTGTGGATATCGTGTTGGTGTGATTGTGGATTGTGTGTTGGTGTGATTGTGGATATCGTGTTGGTGTGATTGTGGATATCGTGTTGGTGTGATTGTGGATTGCGTGTTGGTGTGATTGTGGATTGCGTGTTGGTGTGATTGTGGATTGCGTGTTGGTGTGATTGTGGATATCGTGTTGGTGTGATTGTGGATATCGTGTTGGTGTGATTGTGGATTGCGTGTTGGTGTGATTGTGGATTGCATGTTGGTGTGATTGTGGATTGCGTGTTGGTGTGATTGTGGATTGCGTGTTGGTGTGGTCTGATTGTTGGTGTGATTGTGGATTGCGTGTTGGTGTGATTGTGATTGTGTGTTGGTGTGATTGTGGATATCGTGTTGGTGTGATTGTGGATTGCGTGTTGGTGTGATTGTGGATGTCGTGTTGGTGTGATTGTGGATTGCGTGTTGGTGTGATTGTGGATTCTGTGCAGCACCAGGGGCCTCAGGATACAGATGGGGCTGAGGTGTCAGAGCTTCGGCATCTCCAACCCCAGGCCCCACCTGACGCCTTCCCACCGCTGCTTTTCTGACGCTCCCCAGCCACGTGGTGGAGTGAGGAGCCTGCGGGAACCGGTCGTGGGTGAGGCGTGCACTCCTGACTTCATCCTGTGCTTGTGCCTCAGATGAGATGATCTACGACGACGTCGAGAACGGAGACGAGGGTGGGAACAGCTCCCTGGAGTATGGATGGAGTTCCAGTGAGTTTGAGAGTTACGGGGAGCAGAGCGACTCCGAGGGCAGGAACGGGGTGCCCCGGTCCTTCCTGCGCAGCAGCCACAGGAAGCAGGTATGTGTGCGCCGTCGGCTGACGACACATACCTGGGCCAGCCCGTGGGATGCCGGCTCACAGGACGTGCACATGAGTGCTTCTGGGGTGTCGGCAGGCGGCTTGAGGAGAGCACAGGTATTGGCAGAAGAGAAGGTGCCTAGTCTCCTATTTGCATCCTGTAGCAGTGACATCGCAGCAGGGGGGAAAGCACATGTGGAACTAAGTCCCTCAAAGGCCCTGGAGAGCTTTCTGTCCTAGTATTTAAGGAAGCAGATCACCGTCCTCTGAATTATTTGGGTTGTGCACACGTGATCTGCCCTGCACATGGCCCCACCACGAGCAGGGAGCCATCACACAGACCACGTGACAGGACAGGCCCCGAGCTGCCCACGACCTCCGTGGAGGGGAGCGTGTGTGTGACTCTGACCTCAGGTCCATCAGGGGACGCAGGCATTGAGGCGTGGAGTCTGGGATGGGCAGAGGCAGGTCAGGTGTGTGAGGTCTCGGGTTGCCGTGGTGACTGGCTCTGCCACGTACACTCTGGTTGTTGGGGTTTGGGCTGTTTCCAAAAGGGGTGGTTTGTACTGATGTTTGCAGTGATGTCAGCGTCCTCATGTACTTTCTATGGAGGCTGAGATGCAGCCTGTGTGTGACCCGGTGGGTGGAACAGACGCAGCCCGTGTGTGACCCGGTGGGTGGAACAGACGCAGCCCGTGTGTGACCCGGTGGGTGGAACAGACGCAGCCCGTGTGTGACCCGGTGGGTGTAGCAGACGCAGCCTGTGTGTGACCAGGTGGGTGTAGCAGACACAGCCCGTGTGTGACCCGGTGAGTGTAGCAGACGCAGCCCGTGTGTGACCCGGTGAGTGTAGCAGACGCAGCCTGTGTGTGACCCGGTGGGTGTAGCAGACGCAGCCTGTGTGTGACCCGGTGGGTGTAGCAGACGCAGCCCGTGTGTGACCCGGTGGGTGGAACAGACGCAGCCTGTGTGTGACCCGGTGAGTGGAGCAGACGCAGCCCGTGTGTGACCCGGTGAGTGTAGCAGACACAGCCCGTGTGTGACCCGGTGAGTGTAGCAGACGCAGCCCGTGTGTGACCCGGTGAGTGTAGCAGACGCAGCCCGTGTGTGACCCGGTGAGTGTAGCAGACGCAGCCTGTGTGTGACCCGGTGGGTGTAGCAGACGCAGCCCGTGTGTGACCCGGTGGGTGTAGCAGACACAGCCCGTGTGTGACCCGGTGGGTGGAACAGACACAGCCCGTGTGTGACCCGGTGGGTGTAGCAGACGCAGCCTGTGTGTGACCCGGTGGGTGTAGCAGACGCAGCCTGTGTGTGACCCGGTGGGTGTAGCAGACACAGCCCGTGTGTGACCCGGTGAGTGTAGCAGACGCAGCCTGTGTGTGACCCGGTGGGTGTAGCAGACGCAGCCCGTGTGTGACCCGGTGGGTGTAGCAGACGCAGCCCGTGTGTGACCCGGTGGGTGTAGCAGACACAGCCAGTGTGTGACCCGGTGGGTGTAGCAGACACAGCCCGTGTGTGACCCGGTGGGTGTAGCAGACGCAGCCCGTGTGTGACCCGGTGGGTGTAGCAGACACAGCCCGTGTGTGACCCGGTGAGTGTAGCAGACGCAGCCTGTGTGTGACCAGGTGGGTGGAACAGACACAGCCCGTGTGTGACCCGGTGTGTGTAGCAGACGCAGCCTGTGTGTGACCCGGTGGGTGTAGCAGACGCAGCCCGTGTGTGACCCGGTGGGTGTCGCAGACGCAGCCCGTGTGTGACCCGGTGGGTGTCGCAGACGCAGCCCGTGTGTGACCCGGTGGGTGTAGCAGACGCAGCCCGTGTGTGACCCGGTGGGTGTCGCAGACGCAGCCCGTGTGTGACCCGGTGGGTGTCGCAGACGCAGCCCGTGTGTGACCCGGTGGGTGTAGCAGACACAGCCCGTGTGTGACCCGGTGGGTGTAGCAGACACAGCCTGTGTGTGACCCGGTGGGTGTAGCAGACACAGCCCGTGTGTGACCCGGTGGGTGTAGCAGATGCAGCCTGTGTGTGACCCGGTGGGTGTAGCAGACACAGCCTGTGTGTGACCCGGTGGGTGTAGCAGACAGCCTGTGTGTGACCCGGTGGGTGTAGCAGACACAGCCTGTGTGTGACCCGGTGGGTGTAGCAGACGCAGCCCGTGTGTGACCCGGTGGGTGTAGCAGACGCAGCCCGAGTGTGACCAGGTGGGTGTAGCAGACGCAGCCCGTGTGTGACCCGGTGGGTGTAGCAGACAGCCTGTGTGTGACCCGGTGGGTGTAGCAGACGCAGCCCGTGTGTGACCAGGTGGGTGTAGCAGACGCAGCCCGTGTGTGACCCGGTGGGTGTAGCAGACACAGCCCGTGTGTGACCCGGTGAGTGTAGCAGACGCAGCCTGTGTGTGACCCGGTGGGTGTAGCAGACGCAGCCCGTGTGTGACCCGGTGGGTGTAGCAGACGCAGCCCGTGTGTGACCCGGTGGGTGTAGCAGACGCAGCCCGTGTGTGACCCGGTGGGTGTAGCAGACGCAGCCTGTGTGTGACCCGGTGGGTGGAACAGACAGCCTGTGTGTGACCCGGTGAGTGTAGCAGACGCAGCCCGTGTGTGACCCGGTGGGTGTCGCAGACGCAGCCCGTGTGTGACCCGGTGGGTGTCGCAGACGCAGCCCGTGTGTGACCCGGTGAGTGTAGCAGACGCAGCCCGTGTGTGACCCGGTGAGTGTAGCAGACGCAGCCCGTGTGTGACCCGGTGAGTGTAGCAGACGCAGCCCGTGTGTGACCCGGTGGGTGTAGCAGACGCAGCCCGTGTGTGACCCGGTGGGTGTAGCAGACGCAGCCTGTGTGTGACCCTGTGAGTGTAGCAGACAGCCTGTGTGTGACCCGGTGGGTGTAGCAGACGCAGCCTGTGTGTGACCCGGTGGGTGTAGCAGACAGCCTGTGTGTGACCCGGTGGGTGTAGCAGACGCAGCCCGTGTGTGACCCGGTGGGTGTCGCAGACGCAGCCCGTGTGTGACCCGGTGGGTGTAGCAGACGCAGCCCGTGTGTGACCCGGTGGGTGTAGCAGACGCAGCCTGTGTGTGACCCGGTGGGTGGAACAGACAGCCTGTGTGTGACCCGGTGAGTGTAGCAGACGCAGCCCGTGTGTGACCCGGTGGGTGTCGCAGACGCAGCCCGTGTGTGACCCGGTGGGTGGAACAGGTGCAGCCTGTGTGTGACCCGGTGGGTGTAGCAGACGCAGCCCGTGTGTGACCCGGTGGGTGTAGCAGACGCAGCCCGTGTGTGACCCGGTGGGTGTCGCAGACGCAGCCCGTGTGTGACCCGGTGGGTGTCGCAGACGCAGCCTGTGTGTGACCCGGTGGGTGGAACAGACAGCCTGTGTGTGACCCGGTGAGTGTAGCAGACGCAGCCCGTGTGTGACCCGGTGGGTGTCGCAGACGCAGCCCGTGTGTGACCCGGTGGGTGGAACAGGTGCAGCCTGTGTGTGACCCGGTGGGTGTAGCAGACGCAGCCCGTGTGTGACCCGGTGGGTGTAGCAGACGCAGCCCGTGTGTGACCCGGTGAGTGTAGCAGACGCAGCCCGTGTGTGACCCGGTGGGTGTCGCAGACGCAGCCCGTGTGTGACCCGGTGGGTGGAACAGGTGCAGCCTGTGTGTGACCCGGTGGGTGTCGCAGACGCAGCCCGTGTGTGACCCGGTGGGTGTAGCAGACGCAGCCCGTGTGTGACCCGGTGGGTGTCGCAGACGCAGCCTGTGTGTGACCCGGTGGGTGTAGCAGACGCAGCCCGTGTGTGACCCGGTGGGTGTAGCAGACGCAGCCCGTGTGTGACCCGGTGGGTGTAGCAGACGCAGCCTGTGTGTGACCCGGTGGGTGGAACAGACGCAGCCCGTGTGTGACCCGGTGGGTGGAACAGATGCAGCCTGTGTGTGACCCGGTGGGTGTAGCAGACACAGCCCGTGTGTGACCCGGTGGGTGGAACAGATGCAGCCTGTGTGTGACGCGGTGGGTTTAGGAGACAGCCTGTGTGTGACCCTGTGAGTGTAGCAGATGCAGCCTGTGTGTGACCCGGTGGGTGTAGCAGACCCAGCCTGTGTGTGACCCGGTGGGTGTAGCAGACAGCCTGTGTGTGACCCGGTGGGTGTAGCAGACACAGCCTGTGTGTGACCCGGTGAGTGTAGCAGACAGCCTGTGTGTGACCCGGTGAGTGTAGCAGACAGCCTGTGTGTGACCCGGTGGGTGTAGCAGATGCAGCTTGTGTGTGACCAGGTGGGTGTAGCAGACACAGCCCGTGTGTGACCCGGTGGGTGTAGCAGACACAGCCTGTGTGTGACCCGGTGGGTGTAGCAGACACAGCCCGTGTGTGACCCGGTGGGTGTAGCAGATGCAGCCTGTGTGTGACCCGGTGGGTGTAGCAGACACAGCCCGTGTGTGACCCGGTGGGTGTAGCAGACACAGCCCGTGTGTGACCCGGTGGGTGTAGCAGACGCAGCCTGTGTGTGACCCGGTGAGTGTAGCAGACAGCTTGTGTGTGACCAGGTGGGTGTAGCAGACACAGCCCGTGTGTGACCTGGTGGGTGTAGCAGACGCAGCCTGTGTGTGACCCGGTGGGTGTAGCAGACGCAGCCTGTGTGTGACCCTGTGAGTGTAGCAGACACAGCCAGTGTGTGACCCGGTGGGTGTAGCAGACGCAGCCTGTGTGTGACCCGGTGGGTGTAGCAGACACAGCCCGTGTGTGACCCGGTGGGTGTAGCAGATGCAGCCTGTGTGTGACCCGGTGGGTGTAGCAGACACAGCCCGTGTGTGACCCGGTGGGTGTAGCAGACACAGCCTGTGTGTGACCCGGTGGGTGTAGCAGACACAGCCTGTGTGTGACCCGGTGAGTGTAGCAGACAGCTTGTGTGTGACCAGGTGGGTGTAGCAGACACAGCCCGTGTGTGACCTGGTGGGTGTAGCAGACGCAGCCTGTGTGTGACCCGGTGGGTGTAGCAGACTCAGCCTGTGTGTGACCCTGTGAGTGTAGCAGACGCAGCCTGTGTGTGACCCGGTGGGTGTAGCAGACACAGCCCGTGTGTGACCCGGTGAGTGTAGCAGATGCAGCCTGTGTGTGACCCGGTGGGTGTAGCAGACACAGCCCGTGTGTGACCCGGTGGGTGTAGCAGACACAGCCCGTGTGTGACCCGGTGGGTGTAGCAGACACAGCCTGTGTGTGACCCGGTGAGTGTAGCAGACAGCTTGTGTGTGACCCGGTGGGTGGAGCAGACACAGCCCGTGTGTGACCTGGTGGGTGTAGCAGACGCAGCCTGTGTGTGACCCGGTGGGTGTAGCAGACGCAGCCTGTGTGTGACCCTGTGAGTGTAGCAGACGCAGCCCGTGTGTGACCCGGTGGGTGTAGCAGACGCAGCCCGTGTGTGACCCGGTGGGTGTAGCAGATGCAGCCCGTGTGTGACCCGGTGAGTGTAGCAGACACAGCCCGTGTGTGACCCGGTGGGTGTAGCAGACACAGCCTGTGTGTGACCCGGTGAGTGGAGCAGACACAGCCCGTGTGTGACCCGGTGGGTGTAGCAGACGCAGCCCGTGTGTGACCCGGTGGGTGTAGCAGATGCAGCCTGTGTGTGACCTGGTGGGTGGAACAGATGCAGCCTGTGACCTGATGCCTCCCCGTGTGGCTCCGCCCACACTGGAACCAGACGCATGTAGCCTGGAGGCAGTCTCCAGGGGTTGGGGCGAGCTGTGTCACGAACCTGGAGAGCAAGCTGCATTGCGGTGGGCATCTCAACTGCCCAGTGTTAGGACGAGCCTCTCGGGGGAACGCAGCTCCCTGCTGTCACCAGGATCGTCACAGCCGCCGCACCAGGGAGTGAAGCACAGCCGAACTTGACTCAATCCAGCCGTGCCAACGCTCTGGGTTTAAGCTGAGACTTGAACGCAGTGCTTCGGGGCCCATGCGCTTCGGGGCCCATAGCACTTAGGGGCCCAGGTGCCGCAGGATGGGGTGCTCAGTGGTGCCTTGGGAGAGCGGGCAAAGCACCCTTAAACCCCGCCTCCAGTCAGCCTGGTTGAGGACGGCCCAGGCGCCGCTCGGCCGGGTGGGGCCCGCGGAGCGCGTTGGTGCCCGGGCAGCCCCCGCAGGGCCAGTGAGCACGTTGGCCGGAGCAGCAGCCTCCCCGCCAGAAGCCAGTGCGAGGCCAGCACAACGCTGACTGGGAGCGCGTTGCCACGGCGACATCCTGGGACGGGGCGCCAGGGGTGTTCCAGGGGGCGGTGCCGCAGAAGGACCAGGCTCCTGGTTGAGAAGTCAGGTTGTGAGGACCACACAACGGCGCTGTCAGCTCCGGGAGGGCATCTGACACATTGCCCTTTCCATCGGAAACGACTGCCTTGTTCTCGTCCCGGCCTCTGTGGGGCGTGCTTCCCGGGAGCAGGGGCCCCGTGGGCATAGCGTGGACGCGTGGTCACACTGTGAGACCCCCCTGTGTCCCCACCAGCTGCAGAGGGAGTCACCTCGCCTGGAGACTCACAGGTCCCCGCAGGCCCAGTTCAAGGCTCTTCGCTTGGTGATGACGTACAGGCGTCCTTCATGCAGACTTCACAGATCTGGTCATTTTAACCTCGTCAGGATGGATGGGGTGACGGGGCCCAGGTTTCTGTGTGTGTTTGCCTTCATGGCATAGACCAGTGATGGTGAACCTATGACACGCGTGTCAGAGGTGACACGCGAACTCATTTTTTTGGTTGATTTTTCTTTGTTAAATGGCATTTAAATAGATAAAATAAATATCAAAAGTATAAATCTTTGTTTTACTATGGTGGCAAAGATCAAAAAATTTCTATATGTGACACGGCACCAGAGTTAAGTTAGGGTTTTTCAAAATGCTGACACGCCGAGCTCAAAAGGTTCGCCATCACTGGCATAGACAGTTCTCCTGGCCGGCTCACCTGGGATCGCGTCTGTCTCGATGCTGTTGTCGTCACTCATGTTTATTTTTATTTTTTTAAATATATTTTTATTGATTCAGAGAGGAAGGGGCAGGGAGGGGGATAGAAACACCAATGATGAGAGAGAATCATGAATCGGCTGCCCCCTGCACGCCCCACACAGGGGATCAAGCCTGCAACCCAGACATGTGCCCTGACCAGGAATCGAACCGTGACCTCCTGGTTCCTAGGTCAGCACTCAGCCACGGAGCCACGCCGGCCGGGCTGCAATCACTCGTGTTTACTTCTGAGAGTCGGTGGGCCGGCCAGGGGGCTGGCGGCGTGGTTCCCGGGAGCCCGTTCAGTGTGAGATTGTCTAAAGTTCCAAAAGGAGCATTTTGTGAAAGGATGTGTCTCTTTGTGCCCAGCTGTCCCATGACCTGGCCCGGGTGAAGGCGCGCTATGAGAGAAAGATGAGGGAGCTGGTGGCCAGCGCAGTGGGCTCGGGTGAGGTTCAGCAGCTAAAGCAGAAGCAGGAGCTGAAGGTAGCGTGGGCCCCTCCCCACCCGCTGTGTCCACAACACGCGCCCGGAGCCCGAGGCCCCGGGGACGGCCCGGCCGCTGCCCAGGGAACGCGGCTCCCGGAGCTGCTCTGGGCCGTCAGGGGCCGCCCAGACGCTCTCAGCAGCTTCCTGTCCAGCTGTGGGGCCATTTGCCCTCCCCCTCACCCCCTTGCTCTCTCACCCCGGGCGGGCGGGCGGGCGGGTGGGCAGGCGGAGGGGTTTCTAGAGCCCCCAGGTGGGCCTTCCCAGCCCATGGAAGGCAGGGCTCAGCCGCCTGCAGCCCGGACTTGGGAGAGGAGAGGCGGCCCCGGGGGCAGAGCGCCCCCTGTAGTTGGGGAAAGACAATGGCTTTTCCATAATGTGTCCGCGAAGACACATGAGTAGGTTTGTGATTACTTCCCAGTGACGATTAATGAAAAATGCTCAATTCCCTCAGCTCCACCGAGTCCTGCAGGGAGCACAGGGACAGCCCAGGCGGACGGCGGCCCCATCGTGTCCCGAGCGCAGCGGGGTCCTGAGACCCGGGTGTGAGGGCTGGGTTTGGGCGTGACGGCCAGTTCCTCGAGATGTGTTTTATTTACTTACTTATTTTATTATTTGTTGATTTAAAAATATTTTTATTGATTTCAGAGAGGAAGGGAGAGGGGGAGAGAGAGAAACATCCATGAGGAGAGAGAATCACAGATCGGCTGCCTCCTGCACGCCCCACATTGGGGATGGAGCCCGCAACCCGGGCCTGTGCCCTGACCGGGAATGGAACCCTGACCTCCTGGGTCATGGATCGTCGCTCACCCACGGCGCGCCGGCCGGGCCCTCTCGATGTGTTTCAAAGGCCACTGTCTCATGAAGCTGCCTTCAGTTCAGTCTCCTCTCCTGTCCTGTGGCTGTTGCCCGTGTGCTGAGTGGCGCTTCCCTGGAAGTAGACGTCTGCTTAGCATCGCCCCCCTCCCCCCGCTGCTCTGTGCCCAGTGTGTCTGTGCTTGGGGCCCGGGTGCAGGACCAGAGCCTGGAGTCAGCGAGGCTCGCTCAGTTAGGGTCAGGCAGGTCCCTGCGGGTGGCAGCATCTGGGCAGGGCCGTCCCAGGCGAATCCAGGGTCAGGCAGGTCCCTGCGGGTGGCAGCGTCTGGGCAGGGCCGTCCCAGGCGAATCCAGGGTCAGGCAGGTCCCTGCGGGTGGCAGCGTGCGGCAGGGCCGTCCCGGGGAATCCAGGCTCCGGCGGGTTTCTGGGAGCCCAGGCAGCCACCGGGAGCGTGTGAGGGTGGTCAGGTCCTCAGAGCGGTGTGGGAACCGGTGGACGGTCGGGAGCGACAGGGCCCAGGGGAGGCGGGTGCATGGACAGCCTTGGTGATGGGGGGCAGGTACCTGAGGCTGGCCGGCTCCTCCCTCTGGCCGGACACAGAGTGGCTCTCCCGCCTGCGGTGCCTCCCCAGCTCCCGGCCTGGACCCTTCGTCCCTGCACGTGCGGGGGGCGGGGGGCCTCGGGTGGAGCCAAGATGGGGACCGGCTGAGACGAGGCGTAGCCGCCGGGTCTGGGAAGAGAGTGGGGCTCGGGCGTGGGGTCGGCGAGGTGACGCAGGGCCACGGCGAAGGGAATCCTCGGGGGTGTCAGGGCGCACCGTCCACAGGACACCGTGGTTGGATCGAAGGGACGCGGGACCCAGGAGCCCAGCCGCTCGCAGTGTGGACGAGGTGGCAGAGTGGTCCTCCGGCTGCCGGAAGTGGGGGCCCTGTTGGGCGCTGACGTGGTTTGGTTTCGGGGTGAGCGTGGTCTTGGACAGTTCTGGGAAGGCGCCTGGGGCACGGGGGTGGGGGGGGTAAAGGGCTCGCGGACGGTGGGGCCGGAGGTGCAATGTGTGATGTCACCTGGAAGCTGCTCCCGGGGGGCGGCAGGAGCAGCCTGCTCACACCTGAGCCCCAATCCGCAGACACAGGGGCAGCCCCGGCTGATCTGACACGCCAGCCGCTCCGCACCTGGGCTTGCAGCGGGGCCCTGGGCCAGCGCCCCTTCGCACGGCGCACAGCGGGGCCCTGACCTGCCGGGTGCAGGCGGGAGCCCTGGGCGGTACCTGAGCGTCTCCCCCAGGACCAGGGAGGCCGGGCCAGAGGGTGGGTCGCTGGGAAAGGCACTGGGTCTCCCATCGGAGGCCGTCTGGGTTTCTCTGGAAGAAGCCCTGGTCCCAAGGCCAGTCCTCAGACGTGAGCCCTCGAAAGAACCAGACGTGCTCTGTCGGCCGCTTTGAGACGCTCGCGGGAACGCGGTCAGTGAGGCCCACGGCAGGGGCGTGCCTGTGGCCTCAGGAGTCTGCGGAGGCCTGGAGGTCGGCCTGGTCGTCGGCCTGGTCCTGCCCTCGCTGTCCCTGTCTGTCCCTCTGTCTGTCTGCAGTCACTTGGCTACGTCTTACCATCGAGCAGGTGCCACGCTCTGTGCAGTGGGCGGGGCTGTGGGCTGTGGACGTGGCTGCCCGTGGCTGGGGTGGGCTGCGAGCACCAGGGCGGGCAGGTGTCCGGGCAGGTCTGCCCTCTCCGGGGCTGTGGCTTCGCCGCCTGCGGGCTTGTCTCACCTGCCCGGTCTGCAAAGCTGCTTGTGCTGCCAGTGATTCTAAAAAGATTTAAACGTCAGGGGGACTCTAACCATCAAAGGAGGGCTCTGTAGTTAAAGTTTGTTCTTCCCTTTTTAAAAAAAGTATTTTTAAATTGATGTCAGAGAGGGAGAGAGAGAGACATCCATGCTGAGAGAGAATCATGGACCGGCTGCCTCCTGCACGCCCCCCACTGGGGATGGAGCCCACAACCCGGGCACGTGCCCTGACCAGGAATCCAACCCTGACCTCCTGGTTCCTAGGTCGATGCTCAACACTGAGCCACGCTGGCCAGGCTGTTTTTTAAAGAGACAGACTGCCCCGCACCGCACACACGCACTGAGGCCCGCCAGGAGCGTGCTCCCGGCCCCACAGCCGCTCCCCGGCCCCACAGCCGCTCCTGGCCCCACAGCCGTTCCCGGGGCCTTTTGCAGACCAGACTCTGACTGTGTTCTTGACAAGAAAGGAAAGTTGCAGGTGGGTTTGTACGGGGTCGCCCGCCCTCACGGTGCCGCCTCGTCCGCAGGTGCAGAAGCTGATGAAGGCTGCCAAGGAGGGCACGCGGGACGGGCTGGAGAAGACCAAGGCCGCCGTGAAGAAGGGCCGCTCCTTCATCAGGACCAAGTCCTTCATTTCCCAAGGTCTGTGCTGTGTCCCCGCGCCGGAGCCTGCTGTGCGCCTCCGGCCGTGAAGCTGGTGGGCAGTTCCCATGTGTGCCCGGGGCCTGCTCCCCCCACCCCGGGGCCTGCTTCCCTCCACCCCGGGGCCTGCTTTCCCCACTCCAGGGGGCTGCTCCCCCCACCCCGGGGCCTGTTTACCCCACCCAAGGGCCTGCTCCCCCCACCCCGGGGCCTGTTCACCCCATCCCAGGGCCTGCTCCCCCAGGGCCTGCTCCGCTCACCCCGGGGCCTGTTCCCCCCACCCCGGGGCCTGCTCCCCTGGGGCCTGCTCACCCTTGGCTCCACTCAGCCTGCGCTCCCTCCTGGGGGGCTTGTGGGGCTGAGGGCGGGGCTCTGAGCCGAGGGACCTGCTCACAGGCACTCCACAAACCACAGGAAGTTGAGTGAGCTCCTGGGGAGTGGCCTTCACCCTCTTCATTGTCCCCTCTCAGCCCTGGGCCATCGGTGCCCCCACCCGAGGGCCTTCCTCCCCTGCTTTCCTCATGACGTCCCCCCAGACCTCCAGGGCCCAGGGAGGGTGCCCTGTGGCAGGGCCCAGGGCTCAGGGCTGGGGCGCGGGCCACACCCGGTGCTTTTCTGGTTTCCGGCCCTTTGGGGGAGTCCTTCGTTTATTTAGCTTTATTATGTGTGTAAAGAAGAATTTAGTTTTGGCATAAACTGTCTGCTTTTTCCGACAGGCAGGCGGTCAGGGAGCCGAGGGAGCCCTGGGCGTCCTGGCCAGCGGTGTGGCCCTCAGGCGTCTCCGTGGCCGTTCTTTGTTTCTGGGTGTGATATTTTATTTTTGTTATTTTTTTAATCCTCATCCGAGGATCTGTTTTTATTTATTTTATTTTAGAGAGAGAGGAAGGGGAAGGAGAGAGAAACATTGATGTGAGAGAGAACGTCGACCGGTTGGGCACGTGCCAGGGCTGCGGTGATATTTTATAGGTTAAACCAGAGGCCTGGTGCACGAGATTCATGCCCTCGGAGGAGGGGTCCCTCAGCCCGGCCTGCACGGTGCCGGAGCCCATGGACATCCTTAGCGCTGCCATGGAGGCAGGAGAGGTTCTCTCCACTGCCACTGTGCTTGCCAGCCGTGAGCCCGGCTTCTGGCTGAGCGCTGCTCCCCCTGTGGGAGCGCACTGACCACCAGGGGGCAGCTCCTGTGTTGCGTTTCTGCCCCTGGTGGTCAGTGCGCATGATAGCGACCAGTTGTTCTGCCAGTCAGTCCATTTGCATATTAGCCTTTTATTGTATAGGATTATGTAGGACAGTCATTTCTAGTGCACCATCAGGCACTCAAACGCCACCTCTGCCCTTGGAAGGTGGACTCCAGGCACTGAACATTCCCTGTGGGAAGGGAGTGTCCACGGGTGTGGACGTGTCGCCTCGGTCATCGCTGGGGGGTGGACGGGAACCGCAGACCGTGCTCAGAGTCTTGGTCGACAGCGATTGGCTGCACCGCGGTGTTGGGGGACACGGTCTCCGTGTCACACCCGCGCATCCTGACTCCTTAGATCCCAGGCCGGGCCTCGAGGAGGAGCAGAGCGTGTTCATCGACGTGGACTGCCGGCACCCCGAGGCCGTGCTCACCCCGATGCCCGAGGGGCTGTCCCAGCAGCAGGTAGGACGCCGGGCAGGTGCTCGGGGCCGCTTCCCTGTGAGGCTCAGGGCCATTCTGTGTCTGGATGTTCCCACGCTGCCTGGGGCACCTGCTGTCCCAGCTCCCGGCCCTCTGTACCCCCTCCCACCCCTCCTGCTCCTCCCGGCCCGGCAGGTGGAGGGTTACCCAGCAGGGGCGTCCGGGACCTGGGCGGCCAGGACCTGGGCTCGGACATCCCGGTCCTGAGGATGTTGAGTCTCACCCAGGGTGACTCTGAGAGCCTGCAGGGGCAGAGTGCACATGCCTGGGGGCGTTACCTCTGGTTCGAAGGTCGCGGTTTCACCGAGAGGCACGTGTGGGTGTCACGCCTGCGGGAGGTTTCTTTGGTTTCATTTTTGTATTTTTATTAACTTGTACCAATTCCAGGTCCTCTGTCCCGATACAGGAGGGTCATCTCAGGACTTTAGAAAAAGCAATAGAATTCCTAGGTCAGACCCTGAGTGGTCTCCCTCCGACGGGAGGCCGGTCTGTGATGTGACGGTGGGGAAGGCAGGCCTCAGCTTGACACTCTGCCCGTTTGGGGGGTGACTCGGACGTGGGGTCTAACTCCCATTCTGAGGGTCGGCCCGTGACCCAGCCAGGCTGATGGGGGCCACCAGGGAGGGTGGCCGGGGCTGGCCGGCTTGTGTGCTTGGATTTTAATCCCGGCACAGCTGTCCTCTCTTCACGGCATCACTTTCTTCCTTAAATATTCAGAAGGGTTGATTTTGGTCTTAATTTTGTGAATCGAATAGTCTTCTAAGAAAAATCCGCTCCCTTGTCAATAAAGGTTTGTTTTCCCAGTGGCCCCAGCCTGTTAGCCCAGTGGTCGGCAAACTCATTAGTCAACAGAGTCAAACATCAACAGCACAACGATTGAAATTTCTTTTGAGAGCCAAATTTTTTAAACTTAAACTCTATAGGTAGGTACGTTGTTATTAACTTAATGAGGGTGCTCCTAAGCTGGCCTTTGCTAAAAACGTCCTCAATCTGATTGAGGTACGTTCGCTGAGGTCGACCCCTTCCAACTCTCCCATCCACACTCACCTTGTATACTTGTTTCGTCTATCTCCTTTCGTTCATCCTCTCTGTATGTCCAAACCATCTCACACACCTTTCTCAATCCTCGACACTGCATCTTCTTTCACTCCACAACGTTCCCTAAGATTAACTTAATAAACTTTACTTAAAGTTTTAAGTCAACTTCGTACTGTACGTGTGCGCCCGCACGTGGTATTTTGTGGAAGAGCCACACTCAAGGGGCCAAAGAGCCGCATGTGGCTCGTGAGCCATGGTTTGCCGACCACTGTGTTAGCTGAGGTACTTCCTGTGGGAGATGCTGTCCCGGCCGCCAGGTGGCGCCATGGCCTCTGCGAGGGGCATGCATTCCCTGGGTTGGCTGGGGGTGGGCATGTAATTGTGTGTGCATGTGTGCGTGCCTGTGCCCGTGTGTACCTGTGCGTGTGTGCATGTGTGTGCAGTGCCTGTGCGTGTGTGTGCGGTGCCTGTGCCGTGTGTGTGCAGTGCGTGTATGCATGTGTGTGTGCAGTGCCTGTGCCTGTGTGTGTGTGTGCGTGTGCGTGTGCCTGTGTGTGCCTGTGCCTGTTCATGCAGTGCCTGTGCATGGGTGTGCCTGTGCGTGTGTGCAGTGCCTGTGCATGGGTGTGCCTGTGCGTGTGGTTTAAAACCAGCCTGATTGTGACTTTATGCTGTTTTCTGTTTATTGGCAAAAATAACTTGCCAAACAGCGTTGAGGCTGCTGCCAGCGCCGAGTGCGGTCGCTGGCCTGGAACAGGCATCGTGGAGCCAGACGTGTGCTCATACGCACCTCAGTGGTGAAACCTGAACCAGACGATGGTGTCAGCGTTTAAAAGGCAGGCGTCTCAGGCCGCAGCGAGCTCCGTGCATGGAGCAGGCTGGCCACGCGGCCCGTGTCCCCGCCCCGAGGTGCCTCTTGGCGTGGTCAGAGATCTTCGCAAAACAAGGGTCCCCCACCTTCCAGGGTTCCGTGTCTCTGTCGTTTGGGAACAGGGTTTATTAGGCAGGGTTGCCAGTAGCTCCTTCGCGCCAGGATGAGCTGTTCCTCATAGTCATTTCCACATGAAACGTGTAACTCAGAATCGGGCACGTGTGTGCCTGACAGCTACTGCCGTTGGCCATGGTGCACCTGCTAGTGCTGTGATGCCGCGTGTCCGCCTGTGATTACGGCTTATTCCGTGAGGGTGGACACGGACACGCTGTGGTGTGGGAGCAGCAGGCTTTGTCCCCGTGCGCTAGTTCGCGAGCAGCCGTTTAAAACACAGTAGAGCCTTAGGGGTTTCCTTTGCCTGCTGTTTTGAAAACCAAACACCAAACCCCTCCTTATCCGCACGCCTCGGTGGAAGTGACGTTTCTCTGCGCGAAGTAACTTCCTGCCCTGTTGCTCCAACCCCGCCAGGTGGTCCGGAGGTACATTCTGGGCTCGATTGTCGACAGCGAGAAGAACTACGTGGACGCCCTCACGCGGATCCTGGAGGTACTTGTCGCTCGCCGTCCACCTGCTCGCAAAGGCCTTTCGGTCTGACTTTAACTGACGCAGCCGCCGACAGAATGCTCTGGACAGTGAGACGCTGGAGGCTGCTGCCATGGTTCCATCTGTAGGAACATGTTAATAACGTCCTTTAATCTAAAAATAAATTGAGCCCCAGCCAATTTGCTCAGTGGATAGAGTGCCGGCCTGTGGTCCAAAGGGTTCCAGGTTCGATTCCGGTCCAAGGGTCGCACCTGGGTTGCAGGCTCCTCCCCAGCCTGGGCCCTGGTCGGGGTGCATGCAGGAGGCAACCAATCGGTGTGTTTCTCTCACATCGATGTTTCTCTCTGTCTCTCCCTCTCTTTTGTCTACTCTCCCTAAAAATCAATGGGAAAATAGCCTCGGGTGAGGATTAAAAGTAAATAAATAATAAATAAAACAATACTCGGAGTGGCATGTCTTGGAATCCCTGTAACGGACGCTCCACGCTTCCCCCGTCCCCTCTCCTCCCTCTCGGTCCCCAGCAGTACGAGCGGCCGCTGGCGGAGATGGAGCCGCGGGTGCTGAGCGAGCGGAAGCTGCGGGTGGTGTTCCACCGGCTCCGGGAGGTGCGGCAGTGCCACCGCCTGTTCCAGATGGCGCTGGCCAGCCGCGTGGCCGAGTGGGACGCCGTGGAGATGATCGGCGACGTCTTCGTGGCTTCGGTGAGTGCCGGCCGCCCGGCCCGCCCTGCTGTTCTTACTGTTGGCCGCCTGCCTCCCCAGGAGGGCCCTCAGGACGGTCCTCACCTGCATCTCCGGGGCGACGGGGGGGGCGGGGGGTGTGTGTGTGAGACTGTCCACAGAGGCTCGGGGCCGGGGGCCTGAGAGTCTCCACGCAGCAGCAGGGGGTTTGACAGGCTGAGCCCGGCTGTGCCGTCACCATGCGGGCGGGGGTCGGGGAGCCTGCGTGAGGCCGTCCCTCTCTGTAGCCCATCCCCTCCTGGGCACCTGCCTGTCCCCTCAGCCCGTGCTCCTCCCGGAGCTCCGAGTGCAGACGCTGGGCCTCTGGGGCCGGTGGAGGGGGTGCAGGCTGTGGCTACTCCTGGGCACGGCCCTCAGCCAGCTGCCCGGACGCCACAGCCCAAGGTACATCGGGCCTTTGAGCCTTCCGTCCTCGGTGTGTTCCCCACTTCGGCGCCTTGTGACCCAGGAGCTTCCCCTCAGACGCAGGAGCCTGCGGGGAACAGAGCGGCGCCAATGGATGGATGGATGGATGGATGGCGCGGACCAAGGGCACCGGCGAAGGGGCGCAGCTACACGGCCCGTGCCCATGGACTTGCGTGGGTGCTGTGACTGCATGTGACACCTCTCCTTCCTCTGGGGCAGCAGGAGGCACTGAGCTCGCTGCATGGAGCCCCTGCGGCCGTTGTCATGGAAACAGAAACATCGGACATTTCCTCCGTCGTCACCTCCACTTTTTCTCCAGCCCCTTCTTACAATATTTACCTGGGAATAGACTTTCGAATGGAAACAGTCCTTTTAAAAAAGATATGTTTTTATTGATTTCAGAGAGGAAGGGAGAGGGAGAGAATCATTGACGGGCTGCCTCCTGCACGCCCCCTGCTGGAGGCTCCTCCTGAGAGTGCTGGTGTGGGAGCATCCTGCCGGCTCCTGCGCCCTGACTGACCCGACCCGACCCGACCTGACCGGGCATTGAACCCTGACCTCCTGGTTCATGGGCCGACTTGCGGAAACAGTCCTCTTTGTTTTAAACGTGACGTAGGTGAGCGTGCTTCTTCTCTAAGTGATGGTCCCACCGGGTGTCCCCGAGGCTGTGGCTTCCATCCTGGGGCCAGACGTGTGGACGCGGAGAGAAACACAGAGTGAGGTGCCGTCTCTGCCTCCGGAGCCTCTGTGCTTCTCGGGCAATAGGACTGAGGACCTATGTGCACAGCCCTCGGCCCAGGGCATTCCAGGAGCCAGGACCTCGTGCTGCCCCGCGGGCTGCCCTGTCCTGGAGGTGGAACCAGACAGCGAGGGCCGAGGGCCAGCTGGAGTGTAAGGAAGGGCGGCTGTAATGTCATCTCTGCACGTGGACAGCCAGGCACGTTTGCGGAAACCCAGGCTGCATGGTTCTGAGCCAGGAGGCCTGAGCGCAGGGACCCGCAGGATGTCACCCCGCGTTCAAACAACGCCTACACATTTGCTTAAAAACATCCTTCTCAGTGGGCAAAACCCAAAACCATGTCCCCCAAGAACAGGAGCAAGACAGGGATGTTCGCTTTCACCATCTTGTTCAACATCATACTGAAATCCTAGCCACAGCGATCAGACGAGAAGAAGAAATAAAAGGCATCCAAATTGGAAAGGAGGAAGTAAAACTCTCTTTATTCACAGATGACATGATAGTGTACATAGAAAACCCTAAAGACTCCACCAAAAAAACCTACTAGATTTAGTAAATGAATTCGGCAATGTAGCAGGAACAAAATCAACACCCATAAATCTATGACTTTTTTATACACCGATAATGAATTCTCAGAAAGAGAAACTAAATCCCATTTACCATTACACCAAAAATATTAAGATACTGAGGAATACACTTAACCAAGGAGGTAAAAGACCTGTACTGAGAAAACTACAGGCTGTTGAAAAAAGAGATAGAGGAAGACATACACAAGTGGAAGAGTATACCATGTTCATGGATTGGTAGAATCAACATCATTGAAATGTCCACACTACCCAAAGCAATCTACAGATTCAATGAAATACCTGCTAAAATACCAATGACATATTTCTCAGATCTAGAACAAATTCCAGAAATTTATATGGACCCCAAAAAGACCCCGAATAGCCACAGCATCTTGAGAAAGTTGAGCAAAACGGGAGGGGTCCCAATACCAGATATTAAGTTAGACTACAAAGCACTGTGCTCAACACAGCCTGGTCCTGGCACAAGAACAGGCATAGAGATCAACGGAACAGAACCCAACGGAACAGAACCAGAAATATCCCCCAAAAGTCCACATGGTGGTAATGAAGTTTGTTCCGTGTGGCGTGGCCATGACGGTGGTTACTTGAGGTTGGGAGGCCCAGGGCCACTGCGTTCCTCACGTTTCCCGTGTCTGATTTCAGTTCTCCAAGTCCATGGTGCTGGACGCCTACAGCGAGTACGTCAACAACTTCAGTGCGGCCGTGGCCGTCCTCAAGAAGGCCTGCTCCACAAAGCCCGCTTTCCTGGAGTTCTTAAAGGTACGCAGCCTTTTCCTTCCATGTTGGGTTTTAACATCTCTGATAACGGGCTCCACGTGGGATACTTGATAAGGAACTACGCTCCCTCACCTCCAAGTGTACGATGCCGCTCGCTGTAACGGCTTTCGTCCCGACAGTGCCCTAGGCATTGGGTCAATGCGAGAAAGAAAGAGATGAATTTTTAGGAGTAACGTAGCTTTTACTTTTGTAATTTATTTTATTATTATGTTGTTAATCCTCACCTGAGGATATTTTTCCATTGATTTTTAGAGAGAATGGAAGGGATGGGGGAGGGGGAGAGAGAGAGAGGAACATCGATGTGAGAGAGACATATCTATCGGTGGCCTCCCCCTCGTATCCTAACCAGGGCTGGGGATCAAACCTGAAGACCAGGTATGTGCCCATGACCAGGAACTGAACCTGAGACCCTTTGGGGTGCGGGCCGATGCTCTAACCACTTGGCACACTGGCCAGGGCTTGAAGGTTCTGACTCAGAAGCCCGCCGTGCTCGCTGTAGGCCAGGAGCCGAGAGGTGGACGCGAGGGACGGGGCGGGGGGACAGGCGGTGGAGGAAGTGTCTGCGGACAGGGACGCAGGCCCCTGAGTGGCCCTGACTCTGCCCCGAGGCCGGTGCTGGGCGTGGACGGCCTTAACATCCCGCTGCCCGAGGTGAGTGACTTTCTCGCTTCGCAGCAGAGCCAGGAGTCCAGTCCCGACCGCGTCACCCTCTACAGCCTGATGACCAGGCCCATCCAGAGGTTCCCGCAGTTCATCCTGCTGCTCCAGGTACCCGACCCGGTGACCCCCATGACCCCTGCTGACCCCTGGAACCAGTCCTCCCCGCAGCCTCAGCCCCTCTCCTCCGCAGCCTGTGTCCTGCATTCGGCTCAGCTGACACTGACCCCCGAGCATCAGCTCTCAGGTCCACTTTAGACACCCAGTGCATAGCGGGTCCCAGTTCTGTCCCACTCGGCTACCAAGCTGGGTTCCCCACGTGCCCTCAGGTTCAGGAACGGGCTAGAGGGGCTCCCAGAACTCAGGAAGGCACTGGTGTTGGTGGTTTATTACAAAGGCTGTAACTCGGCCACCAGATGGACACACGGGGAGAGGGGCAGGTGGGAGGGGCCTGGGGCTGCCGGGTGCTCAGCACCCTCCTGACCCCGAACCTCTCTAGACCTGCCTGTGGGTTCCCGTGGCGGTTCCACTGTGGAGGCAGACGGATGGCCACACTGGCCAATGGGGACCACCTCATCCCTCAGGCCCCTCCCTGGAGGTCCAGCCTCTAATCCCCGCTCCTTCCTCTGGCCGCCAGCCCCACCTGGAGCCACGGCCACGGGAGCCACCACTGGCCTCAGCTCAGGCGCTCTGGACGGCTCTGCTACCTGTCACTCAGAAACCCCTGAGTTTTAGGGGCTCCGTGCCTAGATGCTGACCTGGGGCGAGGACCAAGTGTGTTTTTGTGTGTGTGGGTGTTAAAATATATCTTTATTGATTTCAGAGAGGAGGGGAGGGGGGGAGAGAGAGAGAGAGAGAGAGAGAGAGGGAGAGAGAGAATCATGGATCGGCTGACTCCTGCATCACCCCCACTGGGGATCGAGCCCCCAACCTGGTTCTGTGCCCTGACCAGGAATCGAGCTGTGACCTCCTGGTTCATAGGTCAATGCTCAACCACTGAGCCATGCTGGCCAGGCAAGATGCTACCTTTTCCGTGAGCAATGCCGTTGAGTGAGTTAATCTTGTTTCTATGAAAGGAGCTGTTGAAGCGTCAGTCAGGTTGTGACTCACCTGGTTTGTGTCCTTCCCGACGGGTTTTTATTCTTCCCCAGAGGCCGCTGACCTCACGGTCACCCTCTGTGGCCAGCGTGGGCCATGGGGCCGCTGGGCGGGGCGTCTGCGATGACCACGGCCCTCGGCCCCCACACGGGCAGTCACACCCCCGTTTGCTCGTTTCCCCAAAGGACATGCTGAGGAACACGCCCCGCGGACACCCCGACCGGCTGCCCCTCCAGATGGCGCTGACAGAGCTGGAGACGTTAGCAGAGAAACTGAACGAGAGAAAGCGAGACGCAGATCAGCGCTGCGAAATGAAGCAGCTAGCGAAAGCCATAAACGAGAGATACCTGAACAAGGTGGACGGAGATTCTGCGCGCCTCCGCTGAGCTTCCCGCACTAACCCGCACCGCCGTCCCGCCGCTGTTACTAACCCCGGGGCCTCCGGGCGGCTCCCGGGCAGGCGCCCACCTGGGAGCCGAGGGGAGCCGGCAGGCCCCCGACACCGGAGGCTGCCTAAGCTTCAGAGTCTGGGCGTCCTCGAAAAGGGGTGCACAGGCTCAGCGGGCCCTCAGGGGGATCCAGGACCCCGAAAAGGTGAAGAGCCGCTCTTCCCGCTGAATTCTGCCTTCAGACGCGGGATGTGATTTTAGATGCTCAGAGTTAAAAGCGCTGTGTGTGCAGTTTATTTTTAACTTATTTTATATTTTTAAAAGACATTTGTATTGATTTCAGAGAGAGAGGAAGGGAGAGGGAGAGGGAGAAACGTCCATGATGAGAGAGAATCATGGATCAGCTGCCCCTGCACGCCCCACACTGGGGATGGAGCCGCAACTCAGGCCTGTGCCCTGACCGCCCGGGAATCCAACCTCAAACCGGGACCTCCTGGTTCATAGGTTGGTGCTCAGCCACTGAGCCACGCCGGCGGGCAGAGGCAGTATTTTATTTTAGATGCTCGTGGTTCAGGCACTGTGTGTGCGGTTTAATGTGTGTGTGTCAGCCATAAGCTGCACTCCGTGTGCAACGGTCAGGCCGACGCGCCCGGCTTCACGTTTACAGAAGCACTTCCCGGTGACAGCAGTCTGAGCCGTGTAGCTGTACACGGGGAGGTTGATTGGTATGAGCTGTGTTAAATACTTACATGCAATATTCATTATTGCCAAAGCACGTGGTTGGTTTTTTTTGTCAGTAGGATTAATTTCCTATCCTAGAGTGACATTCAGTATTTTAACTCTAAGTACTTTATTGTAATACATTTTTAATATGTTTTTACTGATTTCAGAGAGGAAGGGAGAGGGAGAGAGGAATAGAAACATTAATGATGAGAGAGAACCATGGATCGGCTGCCTCCTGCACGCCCCGCACTGGGGATGGAGCCCGCAACCCGGGCCTGTGCCCTGAGCGGGAGTCGAGCCTGGGACCTCCTGGTTCACAGGTCGACGCTCAGCCCCTGGGCCAGGCCGGCGTGTCCGTGTCTCGGCCTCAGGAGCGTGTGGCAGGGAGGCGGTCCCTCTCGCTGGGAGCGGACCTGGAACCGTCTGGGGAGCTTCAGGGTGAAAAGCCGCGCTCTGAGCTCCCAGTGCTGGCCTGAGTGCGACGGGTGGGTCCCCCGAGGACGGGTCTGAAGCCCCTGCTGCCCCGACTGCGCGGACGCTCGCTCCTCCCCCTTTTCTTAACCGCGACCTGGCGGCCGTGTCGAGCGTGACCGTGGATGTCCAGCTTCTCAGCAGCGGGAGCCGGCACCTCATCCGGTCCGACGACGTGATCGAGACCGTCTACAACGACCGCGGCGAGGTCCTCAAGACCAAGGAGCGGCGGCTGCTCATGCTGACCGACGTGCTCATGTGCGTCACGGTCAGTGCCCGGTAAGGACCGGCCCCGAGCCCCCCCAGGCCGCCCCGGCTCGGGAGCAGGTGGCCTGCTGGCTCTCATCCGCCCCGGCCACCTCCACGTGGGAGGGACACGCTTCGAACCAACCACGAACCGCTTCCTTCCAGGTGGTCCCCGGGAGCCACCGAGGCAGCACTGGTAGACATCAGGGCGGACGGGGGTCATTTCTCCTTAGACACACGCACGCACACACGCACACGCACACACGCACGTGCACACACGCGCACACCCACACACCCACGCGCGCACACACACATACACACACACACGCACACACACGCACGCACGCACACGCGCGCACACACGTGCGCACACGCACACACGCTTTCATACATACTTTCTCCGGCGTTCTCCCGACAGTACGTTGTGTTCTGTGTTTTTCTGCATATTTGCTCCTTCTGTGACAAAGAAGTGGGTCATGAGATTTTTGTAAAAATTTAATATCTACATATGTGATAAATTTTTCTTTTGTTGTTGTTCATCCTCTCCTTGCTCCCCCATCCTCTCCTGGGCTCTCTGGGAGGATATATTTTCCATTAATTTTTTTTTTTTAGAATGAAAGGAGGGAGAGCGAGAGAGAAACAATGATGTGAGGGAGACCCATCAATTGGCTGCCTCTCACACGTGCCCCGACTGGGGCCAGGCCTTGAACCTGCAACTCAGGCACGTGCCCTTGACCAGGAATCAAACCTGAAACCTCTTGGTGCAGGGCCGACGTTCTAACCACTGAGCCACCAGCCAGGGCCTCAATACGCATTGTGGTCATGGAGTCTATGGTGTGATTTGATGTTACCAACATGGTTACACTGTGCCCGAGAGTAAAGAAGGACCGTGAGCGTTGGCCCCGGGGAGGCAGTGAGAGGAGGGCTCCCCACAGGATTTTCCATTGGCAGTGTTCGCGGGACCCTCGGCGTCTGCTCCGGTGGCCTCCAGGCGCAGCCGTGCGTTCTCTGGGCTCTCTGGGAGGTCGTCCTGTCTCGCTCCCGTCCTCTCGGGGAGGTTGTCCTGTCTCACTCCCCGTCCTCTCGGGGAGGTGGTCCTGTCTCACTCCCGTCCTCTCGGGGAGGTTGTCCTGTCTCACTCCCGTCCTCTCGGGGAGGTTGTCCTGTCTCACTCCCCATCCCCGCGGGGAGGTTGTCCTGTCTCACCCCCCGTCCTCTCGGGGAGGTTGTCCTGTCTCACTCCCGGCCTCTCGGGGAGGTTGTCCTGTCTCACTCCCCGTCCTCTCGGGGAGGTTGTCCTGTCTCACTCCCGTCCTCTCGGGGAGGTTGTCCTGTCTCACTCCCGTCCTCTCGGGGAGGTTGTCCTGTCTCACTCCCCATCCCCGCGGGGAGGTTGTCCTGTCTCACTCCCCGTCCTCTCGGGGAGGTTGTCCTGTCTCACTCCCGTCCTCTCGGGGAGGTTGTCCTGTCTCACTCCCCGTCCTCTCGGGGAGGTTGTCCTGTCTCACTCCCGTCCTCTCGGAGAGGTTGTCCGGTCTCACTCCCGTCCTCTCGGGGAGGTTGTCCTGTCTCACTCCCCATCCCCTCGGGGTGGTTGTCCTGTCTCACTCCCGTCCTCTCGGGGAGGTTGTCCTGTCTCACTCCCGTCCTCTCGGGGAGGTTGTCCTGTCTCACTCCCGTCCTCTCGGGGAGGTTGTCCTGTCTCACTCCCATCCTCTCGGGGAGGTTGTCCTGTCTCACTCCCCCGTCCTCTCGGGGAGGTTGTCCTGTCTCACTCCCCATCCCCTCGGGGAGGTTGTCCTGTCTCACTCCCGTCCTCTCGGGGAGGTTGTCCTGTCTCACTCCCATCCTCTCGGGGAGGTTGTCCTGTCTCACTCCCATCCCCTCGGGGAGGTTGTCCTGTCTCACTCCCATCCTCTCGGGGAGGTTGTCCTGTCTCACTCCCATCCTCTCGGGGAGGTTGTCCTGTCTCACTCCCCATCCCCTCGGGGAGGTTGTCCTGTCTCACTCCCGTCCTCTCGGGGAGGTTGTCCTGTCTCACTCCCCGTCCTCTCGGGGAGGTTGTCCTGTCTCGCTCCCGTCCTCTCGGGGAGGTTGTCCTGTCTCGCTCCCGTCCTCTCGGGAGGTTGTCCTGTCTCGCTCCTCCGTCCTCTCGGGGAGGTTGTCCTGTCTCACTCCCCCGTCCTCTCGGGGAGGTTGTCCTGTCTCACTCCCCCGTCCTCTCGGGGAGGTTGTCCTGTCTCACTCCCCATCCCCTCGGGGAGGTTGTCCTGTCTCACTCCCATCCTCTCGGGGAGGTTGTCCTGTCTCACTCCCCGTCCTCTCGGGGAGGTTGTCCTGTCTCACTCCCGTCCTCTCGGGGAGGTTGTCCTGTCTCACTCCCGTCCTCTCGGGGAGGTTGTCCTGTCTCACTCCCGTCCTCTCGGGGAGGTTGTCCTGTCTCACTCCCCATCCCCTCGGGGAGGTTGTCCTGTCTCACTCCCATCCTCTCGGGGAGGTTGTCCTGTCTCACTCCCCATCCTCTCGGGGAGGTTGTCCTGTCTCACTCCCCATCCTCTCGGGGAGGTTGTCCTGTCTCGCTCCCGTCCTCTCGGGGAGGTTGTCCTGTCTCGCTCCCGTCCTCTCGGGGAGGTTGTCCTGTCTCGCTCCCGTCCTCTCGGGGAGGTTGTCCTGTCTCACTCCCGTCCTCTCGGGGAGGTTGTCCTGTCTCACTCCCCCGTCCTCTCGGGGAGGTCGTCCTGTCTCACTCCCCATCCCCTCGGGGAGGTTGTCCTGTCTCACTCCCCCGTCCTCTGGGGAGGTTGTCCTGTCTCACTCCCCATCCCCTCGGGGAGGTTGTCCTGTCTCACTCCCGTCCTCTCGGGGAGGTTGTCCTGTCTCACTCCCCATCCCCTCGGGGAGGTTGTCCTGTCTCACTCCCGTCCTCTCGGGGAGGTTGTCCTGTCTCACTCCCATCCTCTCGGGGAGGTTGTCCTGTCTCACTCCCATCCTCTCGGGGAGGTTGTCCTGTCTCACTCCCATCCTCTCGGGGAGATTGTCCTGTCTCACTCCCCTCCTCTCGGGGAGGTTGTCCTGTCTCACTCCCCGTCCTCTCGGGGAGGTTGTCCTGTCTCACTCCCCATCCCCTCGGGGAGGTTGTCCTGTCTCACTCCCGTCCTCTCGGGGAGGTTGTCCTGTCTCACTCCCCATCCCCTCGGGGAGGTTGTCCTGTCTCACTCCCGTCCTCTCGGGGAGGTTGTCCTGTCTCACTCCCATCCTCTCGGGGAGGTTGTCCTGTCTCACTCCCCGTCCTCTCGGGGAGGTTGTCCTGTCTCACTCCCCCGTCCTCTCGGGGAGGTCGTCCTGTCTCACTCCCCCGTCCTCTCGGGGAGGTTGTCCTGTCTCACTCCCCCGTCCTCTCGGGGAGGTTGTCCTGTCTCACTCCCCCGTCCTCTCGGGGAGGTTGTCCTGTCTCACTCCCGTCCTCTCGGGGAGGTTGTCCTGTCTCACTCCCCGTCCTCTCGGGGAGGTTGTCCTGTCTCACTCCCCCGTCCTCTCGGGGAGGTCGTCCTGTCTCACTCCCCCGTCCTCTCGGGGAGGTTGTCCTGTCTCACTCCCGTCCTCTCGGGGAGGTTGTCCTGTCTCACTCCCCGTCCTCTCGGGGAGGTTGTCCTGTCTCACTCCCCCGTCCTCTCGGGGAGGTTGTCCTGTCTCACTCCCCGTCCTCTCGGGGAGGTTGTCCTGTCTCACTCCCGTCCTCTCGGGGAGGTTGTCCTGTCTCACTCCCGTCCTCTCGGGGAGGTTGTCCTGTCTCACTCCCCAGTCTCTCGGGAGGTTTGTCCTGTCTCACTCCCGTCCTCTCGGGGAGGTTGTCCTGTCTCACTCCCGTCCTCTCGGGAGGTTGTCTGTCTCACTCCCCATCCCTCTCGGGGAGGTTGTCCTGTCTCTCACTCCCGTCCCTATCGGGGCGGGAGGTTGTCCCGTCTCACTCCCGTCCTATCGGGGAGGTTGTCCTGTCTCGACTCCCCAGTCCCTCTCGGGGAGGTTGTCCTGTCTCACTCCCCCGTCCTCTGGGGAGGTTGTCCTGTCTCGCCACTCCGTCCGCTCGGGGAGGTTGTCCTGTCTCACTCCCCCGTCCTCCTCGGGAAGGTTTGTCCTGTCTCACTCCCCCGTCCTCCTCGGGGAGGTTGTCCGTCTCACTCCCCGTTCTCGGGGGAGGTTGTCTCTGTCTCACTCCCGTCCTCTCGGGGAGGTTGTCCGTCTCACTCCCCAGTCCCTCTCGGGGAGGTTGTCCTGTCTCCACTCCCATCCTCTCGGGGAGGTTGTCCGGTCTACTACCGTCCTTCGGGGAGGTTGTGCCTGTCTCGCTCCCCAGTCTCTCGGGGAGGTTGTCCTGTCTCCCACTCCGTTCTCTCGGGGAGGTTGTCCTGTCTCACTCCCGTCCTCTCGGGGAGGTTGTCCTGTCTCACTCCCCGTCCTCTCGGGGAGGTTGTCCTGTCTCACTCCCATCCTCTCGGGGAGGTTGTCCTGTCTCACTCCCGTCCTCTCGGGGAGGTTGTCCTGTCTCACTCCCCATCCTCTCGGGGAGGTTGTCCTGTCTCACTCCCGTCCTCTCGGGGAGGTTGTCCTGTCTCACTCCCGTCCTCTCGGGGAGGTTGTCCTGTCTCACTCCCCGTCCTCTCGGGGAGGTTGTCCTGTCTCACTCCCGTCCTCTCGGGGAGGTTGTCCTGTCTCACTCCCATCCTCTCGGGAGGTTGTCCTGTCTCACTCCCGTCCTCTCGGGGAGGTTGTCCTGTCTCACTCCCGTCCTCTCGGGGAGGTTGTACTGTCTCACTCCCAGTCCTCTCGGGGAGGTTGTCCTGTCTCACTCCCGTCCTCTCGGGGAGGTTGTCCTGTCTCACTCCCCGTCCTCTCGGGGAGGTTGTCCTGTCTCACTCCCCGTCCTCTCGGGGAGGTTGTCCTGTCTCACTCCCGTCCTCTCGGGGAGGTTGTCCTGTCTCACTCCCCGTCCTCTCGGGGAGGTTGTCCTGTCTCACTCCCGTCCTCTCGGGGAGGTTGTCCTGTCTCACTCCCGTCCTCTCGGGGA